TAATTCATGAATAGCTATCAATACTAGTCTGTCTTCAGCTGACTCCATTTGTTTCAAGAATGTCTTTTCATGGGTGGTTTGTTCAAGTCAGAATTCAAATGAGTTATTTGCCGGGGTCCAGCCTCAGCAGGTCTCAGGGTCCCTGAAGGATGGACGCCGCAGGCAACGAATGAAGTGTCAGACACCGGATTGGATGCCGGAGAACAGCCAGCCTCTGTGGGTCTGACCCAACTCACAGAGTTTGATTTAAGCTTTATTTTTATAGAGATTGTTGCATAACATTAAAGGAACCAGGTGCATGGCATGATCAGTTAAGCAGAAAAAATCAATACAGAGGTAGCTAGGAAAAGTACAGGAAATTCTGTAGATTCAGTTATGTTAAACAAAGATTATTTTGACCAAGAGACCCATTAATCAGACAATTAGAAATAGCTGTATATACAGAGTTTAAATGTCTTATTGTTTATTAAAGTTCTTAGAATTTGGCATGGGGCAAAAGGATACGCTAGACTGAACAGTGGTTATAGGAAATTTATTACAAGGCCTTTGTGGTGTCTAACTTAGCTATCTTTCTGTCTAGAATCTTTCTTTATGTACTACGGACTGTAACTCCTTGGCAATTGTTTCTGCGTGCTCAGTTTGTAATAGTTAACCAGCTTCTGCTTCTTTACCTGTCTAATCCCATCAATATATATTCCTGTCCAAGGTAGAGGAGGGGCTGTTACTCTATCAACTTTTAGACTTTCAGGGGCTACCCCATCAGGGGGGACTTTTGTTCTATGGGCAAGAAATCATTTTGTACAACCTCATTGGAATTCTGCAGTTCATTGGACCTGAAATACAGGTGTCTAAAAATCCCACCACATACTAATCACAAAGACAGACATGCAGGGAGAGATAGACAGGAAGTCCAGCCACAGCTGCCTCTGCTGTGCAGATGTGTCTCTTGCATCCCGACTGTGTCAAGGGTCGGCTGTTGGTCGGCTCCTTACAGTTATTATTTTAAAAATCTCTGCTGTACCTATAGTTACTTCCCCTTTTTTAAGATCTGCATTTTTTTCTTTTGTATCATTTCTCCTTTTCTTGTTTAGTCTTGCCAGAGGTCTACCAGCTTTGGTTTTGTTAATCTTCTTTTATTGTTTGCAACTGTTCTCTTTTATTTTTGCTTCCTTTTTTGGGGGTTGGGGCTGTTGCACTGTTTTTTTCTCATCTTCTTAGAGTTTAATACCATTTCACTATTAAAAGTTACATTTCCTCTAAGAGCTGCTTTAGCTGAGTTTTACAAAAATTTTTAAAGATTTTATTTGTTTATCTTTATAAATAAAGATAGAGGGGAAGGGAAGGAGAGAGGGACAGAAACATCAATGTACAGTTGCCTCTCGTGCGTCCCCTACTGGGAACTGGCCTGCAACCCAGGCATGTGCCCTGACTGGGAATCAAACCGTGATCCTTTGGTTCACAGGCCCATGCTCAATCCACTGAGCTACACCAGCCAGGACAAATTTTTTTATTTATTTGCTTTTAGAGGGAGAGAGAAAAACATTAATGTGCAAGAGAAATAATTGGTTGCTTCTTGCAAGCCCCTAACTGGGGACCTGGCCTATAATCCAGGCATGTACCCTGACTGGGAATTGAACCAGTGACCTTCACTTCACAGGCTGGCACTCAGTCTACTAAGTGACACCAACCAGGGCTGAGTTTCACAAATTTTGATCTGGAGTATCTTCATTATCATTCAGTTTTTCATATTTCCTAATTTCCCTTATGATTTCTTGTTTAACTCACAGGAGGTTTTTTATTGTTGTTGCCATGTTATTTTCAGCATTTCCTTTATGTTTTTGAACACGGCATTGTAATATTCTGCTGCCACTTTCTGACTTCACCCCATTGTGAAGCCAGAGAAGATGCTTCCCATGACAGCCGTCTCTTCCGATCCATTGAGGTTTGTTCTGTAGCTTCACGTGTGGTCTGCCCTGAAGGACGTGCAGGGTGCACTTGAGAAGAGGGGCTTGGTGTCGCGGCCGCAGGTGCCGGTGGCGCGTGCGACACCCATTCCCGGGGACCGTGCCTGCTGCCTCCGAGGCCCGTACCGAGTGGGCTTTTGTGCGTGCTCCGTGTGTGCACTCACGCAGGGTGTGCTCGTTCCTGGGGTGCCTGTGGGGGTCGTGCTAACCGTGAGGTTTTCCTCGTGCAGTTTAGCTGCCGTCAGGAAGAGCGTGGAGAGTGTGGAGCAGCTGGCCTCGCCGCTGAGCTTTAACTCCGACATGGACAGCGACATCCCAGGGTGAGTGAGACCAGCAAACTGGGCGCACCTTCCTGGCGGAGGTGGCAGGGGCCCTAGGTGGGCTGGGATGAAGGCTGCGGGGACTGGGATGGGGAGGAGTCATCGGCCTGGGGTCCCAGGAGAGCTGTTACCATGTCCAACCACCAAGGCCTTCCATCCTTATGTTGTCGGGAAGTTGTATCCCTGTTGTGCTGGGGATGGGACTGACTGTGGTTGGGGGTTGGCATTTGAAAGGCCAAGGGTGGGGGTTTGTATTGACCTCAGTGGGGGGCTGGGCTCGGGTGAGCAGAAGGGGAGACAGCAATGGCAGACAGTGGTGAGCGCACGATGAAGGGTCAGTAGTGCGTGGTCGGGGAGGGGACGGGGGGGGGGCGATGGGGACGTGTGACTCGGGGGCAGACAGGCCATGTAGGGTGGCAGGAAGTGATTGTGGTGACATTCCGGTGGGGTGGTGGCGGTGCCTGGTGTGTGGAGATGGGGTAGCAGTGGTGGGCCAGGATGCTGAGACACCTGGCGATGTGCAGGTCTGTGGGTCATGGTTACTATGTCAGGGCTGCCCTTTTAGGGGGCCAGGGAGCACCCCAATCTCCTGAACCCAGCCCCAGGGACACTGCAGCACCTGCCTTATACAAGTGTAGGGCTCAAGGCACAGGTTTCTGGAGGGTGGAGGGACAGGGTTGTCAGTGACACTTCTGTGAATGCCCTCAGGTGGCCACCTGTCCAGGGTTACAAGGAGGTGCCTTCTTGGGTGCCCTGGCCGAGGGCACTGCTGTCTGTCCGCAGGGGTGCTAGCGCTGTGGTAGGTCCAGCCCCCGCTGTCCGGGCTGGCTCTGCACAGACCCTGATGGGGGAGAAACTGCTTGGTGCCAGGGACCTGCGCCAGCTCTGCCCCCTCCCCACACAACCCCCTTCCTGCTCCGTTGTTGGATCTTGCCCTCGGCTTTCCCTCTGGGTGACTCCTTTGGGTTCCCAAGAACAAGGCGCCCAGTCAGAGCGCAGGGATGCAGATGAGCCCGTGTCTGCCTGGCACAGCGGGGTGAGTGGGGCCCTCCTCCGAGTGGGCACTGCTTCCCAGAGTGTGGCTATGCTGGGCTCGGCCCTGGTCTTCTGCCCGCTTCCTCAGCCCCAGCTCTGGCGGGTGAGCCTCATCCTGCTCTGTCAGCACAGTCTGGCTGGGTTCATTCCCTCCCCAGAGCTTCCTTGATCCCCTGTCATGGTTCCTTTGGATCCTGATTTTATTGCCCCTTTCTAGCTCTTTGCCACTAATGGAATGGTCTGGTAGGACTGCTGTGTGTGCGTGTGTGTCTGTGTGTGTGTTTAAAGATTTTATTTATTTTTAGAGAGGGGAAGGGAGGGAGAGAGGGAGAGAAACATCAATGTGTGGTTGCCTCTCGCACTCCCCCTACTGGGGACCCGGCCTACAACCCAGGCATGTGCCCTGACTGGGAATTGAACCTGGTTCACAGGTTGGCACTCAATCCACTGAGCCACACCAGCCAGGGCAGGGTTGGTGTGTTTTCTGCACCTGAATGGTAGAACCTGAATGGTAGACAGGCCCTGGGCAGCCTGGGCCGCCCCTCTGCCCCCACTGCCCTCTGACAGCCCAGGGGACTGGGAGGGAGGGCCATTAGGTGGGGTGTGGGCGCAGCGAGCCCGTGCTGACTCCCAGCCCCCACAGCGCCCTTTCTGCGGCCCTTGCACACACCATGTCACGGCCGGTCTGCCGCCCTGTCAGTGTCACTCGAGAGCGGGTGTCCCAGCCCCAGAGACCCCGAGATGGCCCTTTCTGATGTAAGCACTGGGAGTCTTTGGCCTCCTCTGGGCTGCTCAGTTCTGCCTCCTGAACTTGGCCTTCAGGCTCCCTAATCTGGGAAGAAGTGCCAACCTGGGGAAGCCCCCGTTCCTCTCAGAGGCAGGCTTCCGAGAGAAGCCCGGCCGTGCCATGGGGTCCCGGAGTGAATTCATTCATTCATCAGGGACTTACTGAGCACCCACTCTGTGCCAGCTGCTGGAGACGGTGATGGCGCAAAGCATCTGAGAAAGGGGCGTTTTGAGCTGAGGGCTGAAGGATAGACAGGGACCAGTGATGTGTGGGCGGGAGGAAGGAGGGGCTGGGCCAGGCCGGAGGAACTGCTTGTGCCAAGGCAAACGCTGGGAAGGAGGGCAGTGTGGCTGCAGTACTCAGGAGGGAGGGCGGGAGTCCCAGACCACACGAGGGGCTCTATGTTACTTAACCTTGGAAGGTTAAAATCTGCCTTGTTGCAAGTTTTACTCTCTGGTGAGACAAATCCTAACTTTCCCCTGCCCCACTTTTATTATGAACTATAATATATAACATACTCGCGCACACACACACACACACACAGTGTCACAAGTGATAGAACAGCTTTGTGGGCCAAGAGCTGCGGGAGCCACAGTGGGCCTTTGAGAAGGGAGTGACGGGATCATCCTGGTAGGGCTGAGGTAGCTGAAGGAGCCTGTGGCGGAGGGTGGCGGGCCGCCCGGGGAGGCCAGTCCGGGCAGGCCAGGTCTGGCCTCCTCCCCACTCCCGGGCTCCCTGCTGCCCAGTCGGGTGGAGCAGCGAGGGGGCTTGGGCGCCTGAGCCACTCCCTCCCTGTCCTTTTTTTTTTTCCCTTTTAATATCCTGGGAGTTGATTTCTAACACGTAAGCATTCACAATACACTCAAAGTCGAGTACTTTAAAATTACAGTAAGACAACTTTTAGCTCATTGGTGTCATATAGAAAGGAGTGTAATGCTGGTACATTTTTCTAATGTTCATTTGTAAATGACAGAAGTATTTTTTGTTAATACCTTGTAACCAGGACTCCCCATTAACCTGTCAGGAAAACTAGCCTTCCCCTTTCACCTTTTGTACTTTTACTACTGTAAAATCTAGGTGGTTCTTGTTTCCCTCTGGGGCCTGTTTCACCCTTTGACCCTGGCATCCCACGAAGCCCGGGAACCCCAGGAAGTCTGTGGTCACCCATGTTTTAGATGTATCTGTATTAGGTTTGGGTCCTCTGAGCTATATGTCTATCTGGTAAAAGGTATGCTGGACTGATGGTTATGCCCAAAAATCTGGGTGAAAAAAGAGGGGGGGATCTGTGGAAAGTCACTTCATGGGGCAATCTGATCCTGAATTCCTAACTGGGCAGGTCATGCCCAGCGGTCTCCCTGGTGCATAACTTCTTTAGCAAAAGGCTTATCTTGGCCTTAAGCAAGCCCGGTCTCTTGTTTCTCGGTATCCTGTTAACACCTGTGCTGTGTCTTTAAGAAGATCCTGTGTCTGTCCTTCCTGCCACTGACGTCAGGATAGGGGAGGGCTGAGGAGGAGATGTGCTTTCCTTTTCTCTGAAATGGGAGGAGATTGAAACCGAGTGGCCTGGCCGCGATGGAAACAGAGCAGTCTGGGACAGGAAGACCCTGAGTAAAGGTGGAGGCTGACATGGGGTGAGCCTGGGCGCCATACTGTGTGTGAGAGAGAGAGAGGCTGGGCGAGAGACTGAAGGTGATGGGCCTGCCCTCGCGGGTCACTGGTCACTGATTGTTGTGAACATGTGTGTTCCCCCTTTCCCTGTCTCCTTTCCCTGTCCACAGAAGGTCTGGGAGGAGCCTGTGGCCGAGGGAGGGGCAAACGAGGGCTCATCTCTCTGGCAACACTGACATCCTGTCTTGCAAATGGGCTTGGGCATTTTCGTCTGCAGTGTGGAGGGTCTGCCCTGCGTCTGTCCCTAGGCTGTGGCACAGGGCCCTGCAGAGGTGCCGCCTGTGTGGGCTGTGGAAGGGCTTCCCCTGCCCCGTGGGACCCACACCCCCAAAACCCTGCACCCCCCACCCCAAGTCTGGGGAGGCTCACCAGGCTCCTCCTGGGTTTTCCTGGGCTCGGTGCACCTACTGAGCATCAGAATGGAGTTTGGCCTCTGGGGGTGGGGTGGGTATGAGGGTGGGGGGCTCTGTCTGCCCTGGAGAGACAGTGTTGTCCCAGGGCCTGCTTTTCTCAAAGAGCAGGCCCCCACTGTCATGGTCCTGGCTGAGGGGCTGGGTCAGGCAGGGAGGCCTCCTCTTCCAGAAGGCAGATCACCTCCAGCTCCCCTCACCCCAGCATCCGACTGGCTCTTAGTTTTCCCACCTGTGGAGCCCAGGAGTGCAGGTGGACACCTGGCACAGTGCTGGCGCCCAGCAGGCTCCGGTCACGTGGGGGACAGCCCTGCCCTGGACCGTGAGCCAGCCAGTGCCGAGGCTGGGCGCACTGCATTCCTCTCCTCGCCGTTCTGGACGCGCTGGCCTCTGCTGTCCGGGATCTCCTCCCCATCTTCGTCCCCTGGCCGTCCTGAGTCATTACCTCCGATGTCTGCCTACTCTGGGGCTCCCTGGGCTCCTGGAGGCCACGGTCTGTCTCACGCCTCGCTTAGTGTTTGGCCCAAACCACAGTACCTGGCTTGTGGCACGTGCTCGATGACCATTTGCTCATCAGTTGGTGGTGGACGAGAGGTGTGGGTGGTGGAGAGGTGCAGAACAACTCCCCACCATGCTCTTGAGGGCGGGGCAAGGGGCGCACACCCCAGGTGGGGTGCTTTATATAGATTCGCAACCCCATTTTACCCATGAGGAAACTGAGGCTGGAACAGGATACCCTGTGAGTTCCTCTGTGTTGCCCAGAGTGTCTCCTGCAAGAGGGGAGCCCCCTGGGGGTGGCTGGGTTGTGGACTGCTGGTCCTGGCTAGAGGCGAGAGGCCCCAGGTCACGACTGGCTCTGTGGCAGGTTCGGGGCCACTGTTGCCGTCGGTGTGACCATCTTCGTGCTCTTCATTGTCACCATCATCGCCTGCTTCACCTGTTCCTGCTGCTGTTTGTACAAGATGTGCTGCCGGCCTCGCCGTAAGCACGCCTGCCCCACCCACCCACTGTGCAGGGCCCAGGGTGGCCCGGAGCTGCCCAGGGCCCTGACTTGGCTAAGCCGGAGGGAGGGGTGGCAAGCCTGAGGGTCCTGACTGGGGTTCTGTTTGCAGCGGTCGTGACCACCACCACGTCCACCACCGTGGTGCACGCCCCCTACCCTCAGCCTCCCAGTGTGCCGCCCACCTACCCGGGGCCGTCGTACCAGGGCTACCACCCCATCGCCCCCCAGCCGGGGATGGCGCCAGCACCCTACCCGACGCAGTACCCGCCGCCCTACCCGGCCCAGCCCACGGGCCCACCAGCCTACCATGAGACACTGGCTGGTGAGTACCGCTGCCGACTCTGAGCGGCCCTGACCCCGAAGCTCCCACGGCGCCCGCAGCCAACCACGGTCCTTCTCTTTGCAGGAGGCGCAGCCACACCCTACCCCCCCAGCCAGCCTCCTTACAACCCTGCGTACATGGACCCCCCAAAGGCCGCCTACTGAGCACACACCCGCGTCTCCGGTTGCCACTTGACTCGTCGTGTGTGCGTGTGTGTGCATGAGAACGGCTCTGAAGGCCCAGACCTTTTCTCACCGTGCAGATGTGTGTGTGGCGTGTTTGTGTACCCGTGATGCCGACAAGGTGGGGACGACCCTGCCAGAGTTGCTGGGACCGTACTTTCGTTTTCTTCCTCACTTCAAATGAAGCCTCCTTGAAATCTCAAACAAAATTCAAAGAATGGGGTGGGAGTTCATTGCCAGGCCACCCCAGGGAGACCAGGCGGGACTGGCCCTGCCAGGGCGGCACAGTTCTCGGAGGATAGACGCACCAGTGCCCTGGCTTCAGCGGAACAGCCGGCGTCGGCTTGTCCCCAGGGTGTGTGTCCCTTTGAAGAACCAGAGCTCGGATGCAGGGAAGCGGGCGAGGCCCTGGACTCAGCTGAGCTGGGTTTCGACCCCCTGAGCCTGTGTTGTGTGCACCCAGTGGGAGGCGGGCAGCCTTTGGATGTCAAGATGCCCCACCCACCCGCCAGCCGTGTGCCTGGACTATTCCTGCAGCCTCCCTGGGACCACCTGGAGGGTCACATCAGGTGGCTCTGCACCCCCCCCAGCAGGTGGCAGGGTGGCCTCTGTCCACCTACACACTCAGGTGTCCTCCCTGCAGTGTTTTTGTTTTACTTTCAGCCAAACATGTTGCCTGTTTTCTCTTTTAAAGTGTGTGAGGTCGTTGCTCTGAGGCCGAAGCCCGGGGTCCTGGAGGGAGGTCGGCGCACAGGGAGGGGCCGCCCGACCCTGACAGTCCCTGCCTCCCTCACGCCAGCCTTGGCGCAGCCAGCTCTGTGCTCCTGTGTGTTGTGTCCTCACCCGACTCAGAGGTGGCGGGGGCCCCAGTGGCTGCTGGCCCAGACTCGAATACATCGGTGCTCCTCCGTCCCCGTTGCTGTCTCGGCTCTGTGCCCCTTGGTGTGTGTCTGAGTCCCGGGTCTGTGCCTCTGTTTACAATAAACTCGGACTTGGAGCCACACCCCCTCTGCACGGCCTTGGCTGGGGGCGCTGGGAATGCCGGGTTTGCCCTCCTAGTGCAGGGCTCAGGCAGCTGGTCATCCTGCTAGGGAGGAGGGTGAGGGACAAAGACTGCCACCCTCTGCGCTCCCTTCCCAGGCACCTGAGTGTGGGCAGTGGTGCAGGAGGTTCTGGGGCTGCCAAGGAAGGTAGAGGCGAGAGTGCTCAGTGCTGTGGGTCTTTATTAGTCAGCCTCTCCTCCTCAGCCTACTGCCCAGGTGTGGCCGGAGACAGCCCATACAGTGTGGCCACCGCCACGGTCACCAAGGCAAGCAGGCCCAGTGGGGCCAGCAGTCCCTCCGTGCGTAAGGATTCTGGGTCCTTTATTGGAGAAAGGACCTTGGACCTCCTGCTCCTCCCAAGCTTGGGGCTGGTGTCTCTGGCTCTGGCCAGGCATGCAGTGGCTGTGGCAGCAGATGACCCTGAGCTGGTTCCAGTAGAGGCTGTGACCCCGTACATGGGCTTGACGGCGCTGAAAGGCCTGGCGTGGGCATCCACCCACTGCAGCAGGGCCCTCGGCCTCCACTGGCAGATGCTGAGCAGGGCTAGGACGTCCCCCTCGGCCGTGTGCGAGTCCGGCGGGGCTTGTCCGTACAGACGTGTGTAGATGCTGCCCAGGCTGTAGCTCTTCCATGGGCCTTGCTGGTGGGGGCTGCCGGCCTGCTCCAGGGCCTTCAGAGCAGCGATGCTATCCACACAGAAGGCACCATCCAGAGCCCTGGCCTCACCCAGCGCAGCCAGCTCTGCCTGGAGCAGGGGGAAGTCGTAGCGGTCGCCGTTGTGAGCCACCAGGCACCATGGCTGTGGCTGGCGCTGCAGGAAGGCCAGGAGCAGGTTGGCCAGGTCGGCGTCGAAACGGTGACGCCCGTGCGCCGCCAGCATGGCTGTGCTCAGGCCGGTGATCTCGCTGGCTGCAGGGCTACAGGGCTTCCCAGGAGCTACACACAGGGAGAGCTTGTCCACCACTCGGGGTGGTGGGGGCACCGTGGGAGGAGGCCCCCGAGGGGTGGGGGGGTTCTCCAGCGCACACCTGTGGATGGCCATCAGGCACAGCTCTGTGATCTTGGGCTGGGAGAAGGGCAGTCCGGTGGCCTCCAGGTCCAAGAAGATGAGGGTCTGCATGGGCCCTGGGGGCAGGGCCTGCGAGCACATGGTACCTGCCACTGAGCCTGGGGAGGAGCCCGCAGAGGGGAGTGGGTGAGTGCCCCATGATAAGGTCCACGGCAGGGGTGGGGAGGGTGGGCAGGAGCACACCTCTGGCCCTCTGGCACAGGCAGGCACAGTTGGTGATTTTTAGGACCCATTTTTAGGGCAGGAAGCCAGTGAGGGTGTGGCTTCCTTAGTGGTATCGGCACATTATGTAGGGGAAGTTTGGTTCTTCCCTTAGTGCCCACTTAGTTTGGGGGTGGTGGGCGGAACCCTTGGCCTCCCCACCCTGCCCAGCCCCTGGGGGTCCTCACTTACCAAGTAGCAGGCAGGCAGCAGGGACTTGGGCCGTGCACACCAGCTGGATCTTGCTGCTGGCCCCAGAGGTGGGAAGTGAAACTTAGCCTGAGCCCGCCTACCAGGCTGGTGAGAGCCAGGCCCGCCCTGCTAAGTCAGCCTGCCGGGTCCCTCTCTTGCCAACACCCATCCCTCCCCAAACACCCCCCCCTGCCGAGACTCCCCACAGGCCTCGGAGCAGTAGCTGTGGCCCGCTGGCTGGCACGGTGCAGCAGGGCCCTCACACCAGGGAGTGCTGGCAGGGAGGCCGGGGCAGGGGCAGCCAGGCTGCTGGGAAGGCTGGCTGCAGGGCTCGGGCCTGCCGGAGGGGCCCTGCCATGGCCTTCTCAGCAGAGGCCTCGTGGCTCTGCTTGCTCAGGGCTGGGCCTCGGGGCTGCTTCCTGCCCTGCTATACAATGGTTTCTTCCCATGGCCCCAGCCCAAAGCTATGACTCAGGACAATTCCGCAGGCAGGGAAGGGCTCCTTCCTCCAGGCAGATTCGTTACCATGGGGACTGGTCTCCGCCCCAGCCAGAAACGGGAAGAGAGGGATTGGGAAGAAGGATCGCGGCCTTCCCCGTACCACTCTCGGTTCCACCCCTCCCAGTCTACAGAGCAGACTCAGCACAGAGCAGACGCAGGCTACTGGACGAGGCTGGCAGGTTCTCAAACAGCCCGTCACTGCTTTTAATGGGCTCTGAGGGGAGGAAAGCAGAGGGGCTGGCGCCACCATGTGGCTCAGTGCTCACAGACCTCAGCCGCAGTCCATCTCGGGGTCATCCGTCTCGGTCTCCACTGCACACAGGTCATCCAGGGCCGCCTCTGAGCCAGGGCAGAAGAGGATTGGGCGGTGAAGGAAGTGCTGGGGACTGGGGGACGGCCTCCCTCCCCTCCCCCACACTCACGGTAACTAACCAGTCCCTTCCACGCCCAGGCCTTGCTCCCTCAGCTACTGCAAGCAAAGTGATACAAAGGCAATTCAGACAGGGATGTTTCTGGAAAAACCGTGGCTCTGCTGGGCCGACCCAACAGACAGGAGCAAAAGGCAACTGGACACGCTCAGAGAATGGGAGCAGGGAGATTAAAAACCCAGTGCTGGCCAAGGTTGTGGAGGATGGAGGACTGCACCAGCAAGTCTGCCTTGTCCTTGAACTTCAGGGAAAACACCACAGGTGGGCTGGGGTAGGGCAGGTGCCTCCTGCCAGCTCACCTTCACAGTCGGTCACGTCTGGAAGCGCTCGAATCAGCGTGCCGACCCCGGGCATCACCTGGTCGTACTGATGCAGCACCTCCACGCAGTGCACGGCGAAGAGCTTGTCCTTCTGGGACAGGCCGTGCAGCAGCAGCACCGCGTCCCTCAGACAGCGCACCGTCCGCTTCTGCTGCGCGGTCCAGGGGGCCCGGCCCGCCCTCCGCACTGTCAGCCACTGCCTGTGCAGCATCACAGTGAGCACTCTGACCACCTGGGGTGTGGGGGACAGTGGTCAGGCCCCACAGTTCCTGCACCCCAACAACGTGCCCGGCTGGGCAGCCCTGTCCTAGCCACCCCAAGCGAGGAGGGTTTTGAATGGTGGCACTAAGGTCAGAAGTAGCACTGGTCCTTGCACAGGGCCACCCGGACCACTGACAGGCCTGCCCTGCTGTGCCCCATGCCCGCCCCTGGGCACTCACCTCCACGTTGCACTGGCAGTTGGAGCCAGTAACCGGGGAGCAGGGGCTCTGCACACCAAGCTTAGCCAGGAGCCACACGGCCTACAACAGGAGCAGACTGTTCTAGGACAAGACCCTGATCACAGCAAGGCCCCTCTCCGGCTTCTACAAGAACTTCCAACTGCTTGTCTGCACTAGCGGGGTTCGAGAGGTGGGGGGCTTTGTAGACCACACTCAGGACCAACACCTGTGTCTCAACAACCCACATGTTCCTAGGCGCCACAGCCAAGGGGTTCAGTGGTCAGGCAACTCTGCCAAGTCCCAGACACCCTGGGGTCCACCTTATCTCATCTGTGTAGTGTGGAGCCGCCCAAATGAGTTTACCAGTTAATGGCCAGATAGATTCTTGCTATTAAAATTAACTGAAGCTCCCTCTGTCCTGGAGGAAGCAGGGAAAGAGCGCTCTGGGGGACAGGGGGAGTGCAGTGAAGAGTCCACTCGGGCTCGGGCCTTCTCACCTCCTGTTCCAGTTGCAGCCACTGTCTGTCCAAGGCTGCTTTGTCAGGCCTCGACGTGATGTACATATACAGCAGTAGGAGGAGGCACCCCTCTGCAAAGAACACCCGCCTCTCAGGGGGGGCCCAGTGCAAGCGGCAGAAGCCCTTGGGGGGCCCCTGGCCTGCCCCTGCTGCCTCCCTCCCCTCCACCCTCCTGGAGTAGTCCGACACCCACCGCTGCCTGGCTCTACCTGAGTGGGAGCAGAGCTGAGGCACGAGATCCCCGCGGTCCACCAGGAGGGACAGGAGCTCGACGGTGAGCAGCACACTGGGCAGAGGCGTCTCTGGGCCGAGGCACCGCGGCAGCATGGGGAACACGCTCTGGAACCTAAAACACAGGGGCCCGGGGGCGTGACCCTTCCAACCCAGCCCCGCAATCCACCCTCCTCTTCAGACAGGGAACAGGAAATTCAAGCAGGCCGGAGGGAGGGGGCATGGTGCAGGCAAAGCTGGGTTCAAATGCCAGCCATCGGCTACCCACTTTCACAGGAACGAGTGGGCACCGCCTTTGCCTGCTGTGGCTTAGAGATGACAGACCCTTACTTGGTACAGTGCCACGTAGTAAACGGCAGGTGCCTCTGAGGACCTGGGGTACCTGGCCTCCACACTGCTCCTGGGCTCTTTCCTGCCTCGGCTCCCAAATATGGAGGTAGGTTGGGGGAGAGAAGTGTCCTCTGTCTCACCGAAGGACTGGCTAGGCTCCGGGAGGGGCAGACGGGCTGGGCTATGGCTGCTTTTGCATGAGACCACTCACTAAGCAAGGAAGGCCGCTTTCTCCACCTGGCAGGACGCACCAGCTCCTCTTGTGGTATGGGGGAGAAGGGGCGCCCTTGGGGTGAGCACGGGTGAGGGGCTCTGGGCACACCCTCCCCCAGGTGTCAGGCTAAAGGGACCATTGTCACCAAGGAACCAAATGCTAAGACAATCACTGCTGTTTGCTTAACCTGCACAGCCTCATGGTGGGGAGGCCACGCCACATATGTGCCCCCCGCCCCCACCCGCAGGGACTTAGCACGCAGCACCCACCGTGAGTGAGGGACCCTCCTCAGGGAGCACAAGGAAGCAAGGTCTCACTATGTGGGGCAGACTCATTTGGGAGCCAGTTTTTAGTCGCCAGGGAGTGCGCCACTTGACGGGAAACTGGGGTTCACCCTGGTTGTTAGAAAGGGCCCCTAACTGGTCCACTTGAGCCCCCGAAACTACCTGCATGCAACATCCGTCTTTATATACCACAGTGGTTTCCGGTTTCTCTTTTTAATCCTCACCTGAGGACATGCTCGCTGCCTGTAGAGAGGGCGGAGGAAGGGAGAAACACCAGAGAGGCACAGGGACCTCCTGAGCAGGGACCGAACGTGCAGCCCAGGGATGCGCCTGACCAGGAGTCAAACCTGTGGCCTTTCGGTTCATGGGACAACCCTCCAACCAACAGAGCCACACAGGCCAGGGTTCCAAACTGTCTCCGACAACACTAGGGCTTTCTTTCTGTTTCTTTTAGCAGAGAACACACTGCTCTGGGTGGAGCTGGGAATGAGACCCTTCTGCTCAAAAGCCCCTGCCACCCTAGAACCTGGGGGAACGACCCTGGGCTTAGTGCTGCAACAGATGCAGTAGGAAGACAAAGACAAAGGTCTGGGCTGACTCGCCCTCGAGCCCAGGTGGGCAACGGAGCCCTTAATGAGGCCTGTCGGCATCGCACACGGCTTTAGAGCCTTGGTGGCACCCGTCTCTAGCTTTTATGCGAAGGTCAAGTGGCAGCTGTGCAGTGGAGTTCAGCTTGCCAGCCTGAAGGAATTCAGAGGAGAAACAGAGTGGGAGGTGGTGCCAGACAGCGATCAAGAGCAATGGGTCACCCTGGTTGGTGTGGCTCAGTGGACCGAGTGCCAGCCTGTGAACTAAAAGGTTGCTGGTTTGATTCCCATTTGGGGCATATGCCTGGGTTGTGGGCCAGGTCCCCAGTTGGGGGAATGCGAGAGGCAACCACACATTGATGTTTCTCTCCTTCTCTTTCTCTCTTCTCTCTAAAAATAAATAAATAAATAAATAAATAAATTTTTTTTAAAGCAATGGCTCAGGAGACTGCTCTGAGAGCCCCCAGCAAGCTCACGCCGGGATCTTGGACGCGCTCCCTGCGTCCAGCAGGGCAGGCTGTCACTCGGCAATGCCGAGGGTGCCGGGCTGCGTGAGGATGGCCGAGGGTCTCACACGAGCCGGCAAGCAGAAGTGTCTGTCTGGCCTGTGGTGAGAGCCCATGAAATGGCTTTTTGGTGTCCTATGGAAATGATGAGCAGGAATGGAACGATGGTGTATCCAAGAGAAATGGTGAAAATGTGGTTCCTGATATTCATTCACTCAACAAATATGGAACAAGCAGCCAGCCACGGAGCTGCGCCCTGTCCTGGCACCTGGGTGAAGGTCCTGCGCCTCCCAAGCAGCCCACACTAGGCTGCAGTACCGGCTTCAGCTCGGGGCACCGTCTTTAGGATGGACCGGACCTGCCAGAATGTATTCAGGTGGAAACCAGGGAGTGTTTTTAGAAACAGGTGTCTGAGTTGAGAGAGGAAAACATAAGTGCAGCCAGTAGTCATCCCAACATCGGACCTGGCCTTAGGGAAAGCAGAGGAGGTGGGGTCACTGGATGAGAGGACGGGCTGAACGCAGCTTTGGGACCCCAAGTTAGGAGCTGAGGACAACAGTGTTCCTGAGCTAGGTGAACTTCACCACCACTTCCAACGGACCATGAAAGCAACCAACCTGTGGCTCAGGCCAGCGACGGGCACCACAACGGGCAGATTCCCAGCAAGGCCAGCTTGCGGGCTGCAGACCCTCCCCACCCCCTCTGCTGCCTCAGGGAACCCCCCCAGACTGAAGTGAGGCTGTGACACGTGGTCTGCACCTGATCCATGTCCCAGGTTCAAAGGCCTCTCGGCTCAGCCTTGGCCCCGGGGGCAGGACGATCTCCTGCAGTGGCTAACGGCGTTCTTTTACCACACCTGTCTTGTGCTCCCCTGCTGTACAGAGGCAGAAGGAAGCCAAATAAAGCACTTCCTTCATTCTCCCAATACCTGCTCTCACTTCCCATCATTTCAGAGCTCCCCGAACAAAGCCTTCGAGCCTAAACCAAGGCTTAGAACTGAGCACTACAGATACGTCAGGACATGAGCAAAGTACAGGGCCATAAGATAAGCCTCAAGAGGTCAGGTAAGACCCACGAAGAATCGTGACTCCCTTGCTGCATTATACCTGGGCAAGAGGTCAAAGGGAGAGTTTTCAGCTGATTTCACCAACACCTGCAGGCACTGGCTGAGGACATTGGCTTGAAGGTGACCTGGTGCTGCAGAAGACAACGTCAACAGATGGAGAAGCATCTTCAGAAGCGGATGCTGGTCTTGGTGGTCGGCAAGCTCCCCAGGGGTTGATGTCCCAGCCCCAAGGGAAGCCAGGCTGGGGTTTCCCTCGCCAGCAGCAGAATCGGCCTCCACTCCTGACAGTAACAGGCTGACGACGGCTCCGCTGTGGCACACCAGGTGCTGGAGGACACTCAGTGAGGCCACACAGAGGTTCTCCAGGTGGCAGAGCGAATCCTCAGCACTGGCTTCTACCCTGGAGCTCACGCGGGAAGACTGCGCTGGTGAGTCCCCAGAGATCCCGCTCCTCTTGGCGACTGACGAATCCTGCAGGGCTTGGCAGTGTAGGCCGATGAAGAACTGCACCAGGGGCAGGAGATGCACAGCTCCAGGAAACTGGCAGAGTGGGAACGCCGTCCTGCCCCCCTCGGCTGGGTCCCCGTCACACGAGCCTTCATCCCTGGCGATCATATTCAGTCCAGTAAGTGCCAGGTTCTGGGCTTCTCTAAGGTCCGAGAGGGGAAATGACCCATCGCGAGAACCTGTGCTCCTGAGGCTTGAAATCCCAGTTAAGGTACTAGCAACAGACACAAAAGAAAATACACCAGCATGAGATGGAGATAAGGTGAAGGGCCCCAAACAACCTGCCTGCCAAACTCTCCAGTTACCTTGCCCAGCACACGGGGCTCCCAGGCTGGCCAAGTCCCAGAAAGAGACCTGCTTCCTGGAAACTTCTTTCTGAACAGGCTTTTGGGAGCCTCACGCTTACCTGCCAAACCCCAGTGGCTGAGCGAGGGCGCCGGTGGGAGCCTCGGAGCCACTGCTCAGGAGGTGACACAGCCCAACAGACGACCCTGGGACCAAAGGCTGCTTCAGAAGAAGGGCTATCAAGATGGAACCTGCAAAGAACAAGTGCCTCTAGAGGGCTCTGACACGGGAGGGCTTTCTGTGGCCTCAGAAGGAAAAAGTGGGCATTCCCTGGATGCCAACTGTCCTTTAAGCTGCCACCAAGCCCCACCGAGACACCCATGGGTGCAGAGGCTCTGGGACATACCTGCTCTCGGCCCCTTCCATTTTATAGCTTTCTGTTTGGGTCACAACTACGACTTCCCCAGATCCTCTAAAGTACTGCCTGGGGCACTGGTCCCCAGAGCTGTGGACAGTTCCACCGGCACTGGCCGAGCACATTGGCGGCAACACAAAGGACAGTCGGAGCTGTGCAGGCCTCCTGCAGAAGGAGCAGGGGTTCCGGTACCTCGAGTGTTTGATGTCTGCATCAGGCTGTCCACAAGACATTTTTCAGACTCTTCTTGCTTTATGGGGTCACCTCCCAGATTGTGGGTTTTATTTTCTGAAACTGGATAAAATGTGAATCAAAACTGTAGCACAAAAGCACAGACATATCGGAAACAAACCACTCCCGCTGTGCCCTGTCAGAATTGGTGGCCCACAGAAATGAGGAGAAAATAAATACTTGTTGTTTTAAGCCACAAGCGTGGGTGATCTGTCGCACAGCAAATAGATGATGGAGAGACTGACTTACCCTCTCTGCCCGCCAGCGCCTTGTATCCGGGCTCTGTCTGGCAGGGGAGGGGAAGGGACGTGTTAGCACTGAAAGACTCCTTTGTAGGGAAAGATGGCTTTCCAAATTGTGGAGAACATGCTTCTGGCTTTGGAACCACAGAAGGGCTTTTCCTAGGACTGGAAACAGTCAACCATGAAAGCAAAGTAAAGATTCTGCTAAAACCACTTAAAATACCTGGTTATAAAACTTCTGACAAGCCTTAAACTTTTCATACCTAGGCGATTTGACCAAAGATTTTACCTGCTATACAACTGTCACTCTTTGTCAGGACAGCAGTATAAAGGCATTTTCACAAAAAACGATGAAATGTTGCCATTTACGACAACATGGATGGATCTGGGGAAGTATGACGCTAAGTGAAACAAGTCAGACGAAAAAGGACAAAAGCCGTATGACTTCACTCATATGTGGGATATAAAACAAAAAAGAACAAATGAACAACCAACAACACACCCACAGATGGACAGCAGTATGGTGGTTACCAGAGAGGAAAGGGGGGGGGAGGCAGCGGGCACAGGGGTCAAATACACGGTGACAGAAGGAGACTTGACTTTGGGGGTGAGCACACCATGGAGTGCACAGATGTGGTATCTCAGTTGTACACCTAACACTTGTATAACATTAACCAGTGTTATTAAAAAAAAAGAAATGTAGTAAGACTTAGCAATGCAGTAATAAAAATGCAAAGCAGAAAAACAATTCAAGGCATCTTGGCCCAAAGTGTTGAAAAATCTTTCATTTATTTCCATATTTTTCTAATCACTCAAAAATACTGGCCATAATTCCATTACTGTTTCTAATTCCACCAAAACATGTTTTCAATGTGGAATGGCCTGTTTTTTAATGAAAAGATCTGCAGTAGAAAGAGGGCCAATTAAAAGGCGTGTTGTCCTGCGACGTGAACGTGAGCCGGTGCCTCAGCACCGAGGAATCTACGTTAGAGAGGCAGCCCGATCGCTCGGACCAGGCCAGGCCACGCCGAGGCCCTGCTGTGTGAAGGGTGAGGGCGGCCCCCTCCGCTCTCCCGTCTCACCTGGACTATACAAGGCAAGAGTTCAGTTTCACATGACTGCCCACTAGGAACAAAGGCAGCAGAATGCTCAATACTGGAAAAAGACGCCCGACCCACACTATTCAAATTTCAAAGCTGTCCCGACACCGTGCCAGACTTTTCTGTCAGGCAGGGAGCAGGATGAAGGTCCTGCATGAGATTATCATACCTGCAGCAAAAGCAGGGGCTGCTGGACAAAGATCCCAGGGCAGCAAATGAGAAAAAATATTCCAAGTAGTTGGGACTGAATTATACTTGTGCTTGGGGCCAAATCAGTTATTTAAAACAAATTACAGCCCTGGCTGGTGTGGCTCAGTGGATTGAATGCCAAAAGGTCATCAGTACAATTCCCGTTCAGGGTACATGCCTGGGTTGTGGGTCCCCGGTTAGGGCTGCAGAGGCAACTGATTGATGTTTCTCTCACAATGATGGTTCTCTCCTCTTTCTCCCTCCCTTCCCCTAGCTCTAAAAAGAATTAAAATCTTTAAATAAAACAAAATACATAAAAATGAAGACTGGCCTACCCCAAAAGTTTGGAGAGACCTTGCTAGCCTTTTCTAGCCCGAGCAGCTGTGCTGATACAGCCCTATGCAGAAGAAGCACATCTAGAGTGTGGGGCTTTCATGCTGTGATGCCCCAAACCATTCACGCTCCAACCAAGCTGGCTTTGAGGCCTTCAAAGAGTGGACCCAGGCCCACGGCAGAGTCTACATGGGCCTCCTTCAGGCCCAGCCTTTGTGTTCTTCAGACTTTTTACTGAACCGAATTCTCCCTCCAGCACCATCGTTACCTGCCATGGGAGATGGAGGGAACAGCTAGTTTATTTGCTCGTTCACTGCTTTGAAGCTTTGTCCTTAATTCATTCATCTCTGCATCTTTAAACTGGAGTTCGGACTGCAATGACTGGAGCTGGAAGGCAGAGAAACACAGTTCGTCATATATACGAAACTGCCTCTGGGCTCCAGAGTCTGCAGCTAATGAAAAACACACAGTGAGGAATGAGAAAGAACGTCTGCTGTAACACAGATGTCCCAAAGGGTCGAGCTTGAGCCTTCTTTCTGAAAGACAGTGTGTTGTCCTAGAAGGAGATTTTGACCTGAGCTACTGTGAGGTAGTCTGTGAGGGTTCAAACACCATTCACTCAGCCTCTCTGAACTTGAGCTTATCTGTGACAGAAATACCTATCTTCACGGTTGGGGGGGATTAAATGACCAATGTCAAGTGCGAGGCATGGAGCTGACCAGGTGCCGTATCTCGCAACAACAGGCCAACCTCTCAGTGAACGCAATGGTATACAATTCCAGATCTTCTGAAACTCAGGGCAGGAAGCCAATGCCTTTCCCTTTGGCGTACACTAGATCAGCTGAGTTTCTGATCTGCCAAAAGAGCCCTCATTTAAACCTGACCATTTTCTGAAAAGTCTAAGCTAGTGGTGTGTTCCTGCCAAGACCAACTACCGCAACAAAGCAGTTTCATCCAAGTCTTTTTCCAAACCACGTGCACAGCCTGAAGAAAAGGACATGCAGTCAGCTGGTAGCGGAAAGTACAGACTCAAAGAACTGCTGAGGTCTTCCTGGGAGATTTACAGGCAACTGTGGTCACTGTTTCCACAGGAATTCAGTGAGCAGGCGAAGCCGGTGTCCATACCGACCAAAACAAATGCTTTGGGTCACCTTTTTGGAGAATTCCTTTTCTTTGTCACTGAGAGCTTGAGCTTTCTCCTGTTCAAGAAAGTAATGTGATCTTCTCTGTTCCTCTAAAGTGGATTCTGTTTGGTGCAGCGAGTCCCGCAGAATTTTAATTTCTCCATTTTTAATGAGGACTTCTTCTTCCATTGCCTTCATCTGTAAATCCCAAATCAATTTTGTAAAAAGCTTGTCAGGGAAAATCATATACATACTTATTTCAACATGTAGCTGCGGAGATGGAAAAGGCCCAGGTATCATGTGTGCTGTAGACCAACGAGCGCTCAAAATACCTGCGGCAACCAGACATCACCACTCACATCCAGCAAGGCAGCACAAAGACACACCTGTCACGCATGCACATAGATTCTGGGGGCTCTGCTCTAGTAAGTCTTAAACAATCTGGGTCACACACTTCACAGAAGTGAAATTCCATGTTATATTCCTGGTTTTCCTAGGGACCCAGGTAGGTCATACAAAGGATGTCTGCTTTTTTGCGAAACTTCATGAAAACAGCATACATTATGGTGTTGCATTCCTGGCACGTGCTGTAAATTTACCCCTGTGCTAAAACAAGAAGTTTGTAGATTCTTTTTGGATCTACAAGCGTACAGGGCTTCCTTTCTTTCCTGGTCTGTTAGGAATCTTAGGATTCAGTTTCTTTCAGATTTAATTTTCTGGCTTTCAATTCCCAGCCTTCCCCCATTTTGGGGGTGACTTCTGGGGTCTTTTATTAAAACTTTTACACATTTTATTGCACAACACATACAAAAGTGAGTGAATTAGCTGTAAAAACCACAAGTGAAGTCACTTACCTTTTCTTTAAGTTCTTTATACTGGGCCTGAAGTAACTCTAATTCAAAGTTATCTTTAACTGGAACACTCTCTCTGTTTTTGCCTGCAGAATTTTTGGGCATTCCATCTAATCTGGGCACATTATGAGCACCTGTAAAAAACAGTTCCCACATACTTTTCAGGATCCAACATTTTCTCACTTTTGCCGGACAATGCTGAAAAGAATCACTCTTGAAAGCAATTTAGAGAAAGATCTAGTAAGCAATATAGGTATTTCCCAATCTAGGAATGATCCAAACTCATAAATGATCCTTACAAAATAACAGGTCCTGCCACTTTTTCCCCATTATCCACCCAATTTTAAGTCTCACCTAAAGGCTGAAAGGCACTGTGAAGCTACTGCTGGTCAGAATTCAGTGATCTATTACTCAACAGTATTTACCAAGCACCTACAATTTGCCAGGCATGATTTAGTCTCCAAAGGTACAAGAGTGAGCAAAATGAATTGTCTTTACCCTCATGGAGCTTACAGGACATTAAAAAGGTAACCACATGTATGCCCTGGCTGGTGTGGCTCAGTGGATTGAGCACTGGCCTGGAAATTGAAAGGTCACTGGTTTGACTCCCAGTCAGGGCACATGCCTACAACCCAGGCATGTGCTGGGTTGTAGGCCAGGTCCCCAGTTGGGGGCATGTGAAAAGCAACCAATCAATGTATCTCTCACATGTTTCTCTCCCTTTCTCCCTCCCTTCCCTGCTAATAGTAAATTAATAAAATGTTTTTTTTAAATCACATGTATAAATGTAGAATGACAACTGTGAGAAGAGCTGCAGAGAACATAGGAAAGCCTGTAATAAGGGGACTTGATCCAACTGAATGACTGGAAGGAAGTGATGACTGAGCTGAGACGAAGAACAGGCAGGAATTAACCAGATGGGTTGGGATGGGGAATGGAAGGAAAGAACATCCAATGTACAAGAAATAGCAATGTGTGAAGTTTCTGAATTGTAAAGAAGCAGGGAGGATTCAAGGACTAAAGCAGTCGGTGTGGCTAACATCCGGAGAGGAAGAGCGAATGAGGCAGACCATGCCGCATTAAGGATTCTGACCAGGGGGAAGTCATCAAAGGGCTTTGCATAAGGGTGTTCGCCTGTATCAGAGCGAGACAGAGATCTGAGCTCTGAAAAGATCACTCTGGCTGTGGTGTGAAGTCTGACTTGTAGGGAGTCAAGACTAGAATCAGGAAGACAATTTAGCAGATTATCGTGCAGGAGACAGTGATGATGGTAACTTAGATCAGGGAGATGATAGAGATGATGCAAAGAGGATGGATTCCAGAGACAGATTAAGGTAGAATTATAGCCCTGGCTGGTGTGGCTCAGTGGATTGAGTACAAGTCTGCCGACCAAGGGGCTGTTGGTTCGATTCCCAGTCCAGGCACATGTCAGAGTTGCAGGCTGAGTGGGGGGGGGGGGGATGTTTTTCTCCCTCTTTCTTCTTCCCTTCCCCTCTCTCTAAAAATAAATAAATAAGATCTTTAAAAAAGAAGGTAGAAGATAAATTTATGGGATTTGGAAAGGAATTAGATGTATGGTCAAGGAAAGGGAACTGTTGCCTTGTGCCACCTGAAGGACAGTGGTGCTGGTCACTGTCCTGTAGAGCACTTCGTCACCAACCAGTGTTTCTGAATGTCTGCTTTTCCAGGCACCATGCTGGACATGCTGGAGGACGACTGGGTTTCCAGGAAATGACTGTGGAAGTTAAGACACCTGTGACCCATCCAAGTAGAGTTGCAGGGTGCCCTCAAAACCTTTCTTTCTGGGAGCCCCCCCCACCCCCGAGGCTTCACTCATTTCCCAACTGGAACGTAAGTGCCATGAAGGAAAGGAAGGGGTGTGTGACTTCTGCTCATTGCTAAGTGTGCTGCAGTTCCTAAGGTTTGGGCACCTAGTACAATTTATTGGTTGTAAAAAAAGAATAAGCCTCTTGTATCTCTTGCCTCTGCCTGACCCCTGTTATGCTCAAGGGGCAGTGGTCTTCATCAGATCTAAAGCTTCCCAAACCTGATACAAGAACGGGTCTCCATGTGTAGGTAGAGATGGTTCTGATGGTGGTGGGAGGTGTTCTAAGGAGCTCTGTTAGAACTAAGAACCTAGTGGCCCTAAGTTGAGAAACTAAAGTAAAATGTTTGACATTCCTGGTCCACTTTCCCCAATATCAAAGGCCCTTTTTGGACACAACCGCTACTTAAATCAAGCTGTTCCTATATTTTAAAAAAGTGAAGGCGCAGTGTGGGTGCAAGACACCGAGAGCCGCGGTCGTCACGGGTTTCGAAGCCACAGCCACCATGGATGTCTGGCGAGGTCTGGATCACCCTCGGGGAAAAGACCCCTAGGAGCACTCACTGGACACATCCCGGGCCGCGAACGGGCAATGGCTCAGGGCCTGTGACGCCAGGATGTCGAGCTCCTCCAGGTCGTCCGCGGTGAAATCCTCGTGAGGGCCAAACGGGTCCTCGGGGTCCAGAGCTGCGGCCGCGGGGACGCCCCGGGCCCGCTTGCTCGGAGGCTGCCGGGCGCCGGGCGGCGGGCCAGGAGTAGGGGCCTGGGGCCCGCTCCGCCTTCTGCTGCCTGGCGCGGGGGCTCCGGCCATGCCTGGCGCCCGCGAGTCCCCGAAAGCACGGAACCGGATCTCGTAGCCAAGAAGACCGAACGCAGGACCAACCGCCCGCGCGCCGCCGACCGCCTCAGCCGCCGGGGCCACGCCCCCGAGCCTCCGGGCCAATCAGCTGGCAGCCTGCAGGCGCGGAGAATTGACACACTTCTGAGCGCGCCGCAAGCCTCTGCTGAGTGCCTACCCTTCTTGGTCGCGCTCTGCCCCCGGGTACTCCGGCTTGGGTTCAGTGGGTCTGTGGCCGGGACTCTGCCGTGCAATCTGAGTGACTAGGAGTGTGGGTGCTGGGCTCACCAGCCCCACCGCGCGGGTGGCTGCGCGTGGAGTACAGAGTCGCGCTCTGTACATTCACTCGAGCGAATGTGAATCGAGGCAGCTAGCATTCAGGGGTGTGGTCTCTGCCACCTTGCTGTCCTCCCGCCGGTCCCACCTGGATCCTCCTCTCACGTACCCTGAGATTCTCTTGGGGAGGAGTCCGGGAGAGTGGGGTTGGACGGGGAGTATTAATAGAACTGTTGTGAGCAAACATGTTTGAGAACAGTAAGTGGTTTGAGTGTGTACATTTGAGGTAGGTCTGGGGAAGAAAGTCTAAGAGGTGATCCTGAAAACGTTGTGCCTGTGTTGGGGGGGGGGGAGATAATTGCTCAGGCAGTTAACATCATTCATTCATTTCTCTGGGAGTGCTTGAGTGGTTTTGTCCCAAATGCTAGTCATACAGAAATGAATGAAGCTCAGGTCAAGGAAGGCCCTTTGGAAGTGGCACCAGGACTGTCCTACAGGTTGAGTGGGCGAGGAGACTGGCACACAAGACTACTCAGACAAGAATACAGCACCAAAAGGGAGGCCACATGAGTTCCAGGTAGGAGCTATCTATGACAGAAGGTAAGGTTTCAAAGAGCAGAGTCAAGCTGGACTTGACCGGATTTTATTCAGCAGCAACCTCGTGCAGGACAGTTAGTCAGGACCGGGTGTTGGAGAGTAACTTTCATCCTTGCGTGCTTAGTGCCAGACTTAGCCCGTGACTGTCCTATGAATGTCTGTGAAAGCAGTAAATGAAAGGGAGGTGGTGGTTGGGGCCTAGAGGGTCTTGAATGCCTGAGTTTGCTTCTTTGAGGTACTTAGTAGCTTCCCTCAGACAGCAGCCCCTGTGTGCAATGTGAACTAGAAATTGATGCAGGTCTCTGGTCCTGTAAAGACAGGACTGTACTTCATTTGTCAGGAGGGATGAGGTCCCCTCTCAGGGGCAGTGTGCTGGCCCTGGCTCTCAGAACTGTTCTCAGCGGCACAGGGCCAGGTGCCAGCTAGCAAGGCCCACAGGGGATGCTCAAGTCCATAGAAGGTGCCGCTGGCTGTGCAACTTAACAGGAGATGACCAGAGCTGGCTATTTTTTTGTTAATATCAAACACATTAGTCATAAAACAGGCTTCAATCAAAACATTTTCCAGTTTTAACTTAGCAAAACCTGACCATCTAGAAACCCTTTTGAGAACACATTCTCTGAGTTTAGCATTATTCTCAGTTGTATCAAGGGTTCTGGCAGGGGGAATCCAGACTTGTGCCTCTGACTTGTTTCATTACACACGCACTTAGGGTACCTTACTGATGGCCTCTGTCCTCCCGGAATTTGAGTCAAGGGTGATGTCAGGAGAGAAAAATGACACAGGTTAAGACAGTGGGACTGTCACTTTGTAGGATGTTCAGGGAAGAGTTCACTACTGTTGACGAGTTCTCCAAAGGGAGTCTCCAGTGTCCAGAAGAATGACAGGCAGAGAGAAGAGTTGGTGACAACAGTGAGGCAAGAGTTTGCTTGGAATATAGGCCATTGAGGCTTGAAATGGATTAGGGGGGAGAGTAGCTCTCAGAGGGCAGGGAGCGGTGTCTGGATCCTGTAGGGCCTCACTGGCCATTGTAGGGACTTTAGCTTTCGTTCTAAGCTCTGAAGAATTCTGAGCCAAGGAGGGACAAAGCATAACTTTACAGTTTAGCAAGACCACTCCGGGTCTCGAGTTAAGATTAGACTGTAGGGAAACAAGGGTAGAGACAGGAAGACAAACTTGGATGTGACTGCAATTCAGGTGAGGAACTTTAGGGGCGCCGGGAGTTGTTGGAAGTGTGAAGGGGCCAGATAAAATTTTCCTGATGGGTTGGATGTGGGTGTAAGACACAAAAACCTCGGAAGGATCTTTCTGAAGCTCTCGTGGAAACGCAGACACAGGGGACATGGGAGTAGGCTTGGTTCTTAGGCTTCCAGGAATCTTCCTCCGCAGTTTACTGCCCTTCATACTGTATATCATGTGTACTCGTCCTGCTCCCCTCTATGGAGAAGTTTCCTGACAACACGAACTATTCACCTGTTTGTACATACAAGCCTGGTCTGCACATGGCAGAGCCCTTACACGACCAGATGAACCACCCCATTAAAACAAATGGCAATGTGGATGTCATAACAGAAAAAAATGGCTGTTCTTTCCGAAGTACCAATTCTTCCACTGACCTCATGTAATGTATTCCATCAGACACAACCACACAAATATGACAGCCATTTCCAATGAGCTGGTTTAATTCCAGGTGGTACAGAATTCTGGATGGAACGGAGACTTAAGGACACACTTTGACAGGACTCTGGGCTGGGTCCACTCTGACTTCACAGCCAAGGTTGAAATGGCAGAGAAGAGCTGAGATGAGCCACTGCATGACTACCGTTATGGTTTTTTGTGTTTTTTTTTACAAAAGTTTATTCTTAAATGTACAACGGGCTCCCAGACAACACTTCATTCTAGCTATAGGTGGCAAGAATGTTATGACAGGGAATCCAGATGTTAATACAGGAGTGGAATGAAGGATCACCAGTGTCCCAGTTACGAGAACAGCTTACTTTTTGCCAGATTTCTTAATTCCACCTGTGGCTGCAAAAGAAAAAAAAAGCCTCAGGGAAAAATATATTTCTTATAGTAGAAGCCCCAGGGGCCTTACATGGATCCTAGTAAGGGTCAGCTCTCACACCGGGCATCCTTGCTGACAAGCACATACAGGGCTCTACCAATGTTATCTATTCTGAGTGACAGGAGAATGAGGGCCACAAGCCACCGCTATGCCCTCAAGCCTGGAGCTGCACTGTTGGGTACTTCACAGATTGGCTTGTTTAATCCTCATCCCCTACCAACCCATTTTACAGAGCAAAGTCTTTGTGTAAGGAATTGTTCAAAGTTATAAACTGGTGTGTAATGATGCCAGGATTCCAACCCAGGTTTTGTGACCTCCCAGTCCCTATTAACTGACACATCACACCACACTACCTTCCAGTGGATGTTCCTGGCTGGGGTCTGGTTTACTTAATACCTTTACCCAATTTAAAAGTAACTATATATCTGGCACACAGTAAATAACTTAAGACACACTTGTAGAATTAAGTATGCCTAATATAGGAATGAAAACCCTGGGGGGGAAACCCTTAAAAACCCAGATGACATTCAACTGAAACTAGGCTTTCACTAAAGACTGACCTTTACAATCACAGATTAAGGGAAGGTTCAAGACCCTTCATTACATCTCATTAAAAAAGGAATCGCAATAGCTAGTATCTCAGTGCTGTGTGGGCAAACAATAATGAATGGGGACCCGGGAGCGAGGTCTTGGAAAGCCCTAGACGACACTCCCAGCATCCCAGTCTCTACTGTCCCCAGTGTGGCTCACAGTGATCCAATCAGACACAGACCACTGTAGAAGAAATAATCACTACTTTGACTAATGTAAACAGCATTTAAGAAGCACGGAAAATATTGGGGCTGCTGGGCTTGAAAAATCTTGATATGAATACCTCTTACATAAAGGAAGAGATAGAATGATAGATTAGGTCTAAAAAAAGTTTTGGAGTAATAATACACCAAGGAGCCTGTTATATTTTAGTACGAGCACATCCAAAAATAAAAAGACAGGATGCAAAAGTACTTACTAGCATTAACAATACGAATAGTACACTAAGGGACGATGAAGTGAAATACGACCCCGGGACAAGAAATTGTGCAGGATATCTGGAAATCCAGCCGTCTGAATGGCGTCTAAGATATAAGAATCTGTGTTTCCATCCCTGCCGCTTCCCTGAGGAAGGGAAGCTCGGACTGCCCGGGAAGCAGGAGGTTCGTTTCTAGACCCAGCCTGGCCCCCACCCCTTGGCGCTGCGGCGAAAGCAACCCCGGCTAGGGCCATCCGCCTTAGCGCACAAAAGAACCGATGCCTAGCCACTCACCAACCAGGGAGGAAACGGACCAGCTTGGCCCGCGTCCAGACTGATTCTCAGAATATTTGTTCGGCTTGGGATCTATCTGGCCCTCACTTACCCAAGGGGCCCTTCCCCGCGGCCTTCGCTTTTAGCTCCTCAAGTTTCTTCTGCTCCTCTTTTTGCTTCTGCTTGAATGCCTTATCTTCCTAGGGAGAAGTACAACGGGGTCACTGCAGGCGGCCCTCCCCGCCCCTCCGTGCCCGCCCACGCCTCCGCGCAGCCCTCACCTCGTCCATCTCCTTGGCCTGTTTCTTGGGCTGTTTCAGGGGCTTCTTCTTGCCACCTACGGGCAACACGACCACGCTCATCCCTGCCCTCGCCAGGTCCCCTCCCACTCCACCCCGCTACCTCCGCCACCCTCGCTATCCCCGGACACTCACCTTCCCGGCCGGACATGGCGCCTACCGCCCCTTCCCCAGACCCTGCCACCGGAAGCTAAGTTCCTTGTACACTCCTGCGCCTTCACTCCCTTGAGGGCCCGTCGATTGGCTCCTAGTCAGGAAGTTGCTCTTCCGCAGCCGGAAGCGGCCTTCTGGAGGCGGGCACTAAAGGCTCAGAGATCTACTGAGTGGCGAGTGCCCCATTGGTTTTGCAGCTCGGCCCCTCGGCGGGCAGGTACGCGGAAAGGGGGTTGGGTGAGGTGGTCACCCTGCCAGGGGAGGTCCAGAAGCTGGGAGGGGTGTTAACCGGAAGGCTCCGGGTTGGACCGTGTGTTCGCTGGGGGAAAGCACTGCAGGCGGAGGGAAGGGCAAGTGCAAAGGCCTTGAAGGTTGCCGCATTCCTGGGACTTAGTTTGGCTGGGGGGAGATGCATGGGAGGTGGCAGAAGTGGCGGTTAGATCACCTTGTCCTAGAGCTTTGGAGGCCACCCAGAGGATATTGGGTTTTATAATGTAGTACAGGTTGCGACTTTTTGCAAATTCCTTTTATTCATCCAATACATTTTTTGTTGAGTATGTACTATATGCAGACAGGATTCTAGGCACTGAGGCTGCAGCAGCAAACAAAACAGCCCCTACCCTGGCAGAGTTAACATCCTGGTAGGTGACACAGACTATAAGACAAGTAAATAACTGGAATACATACCGTAGGTCCTGTGATATGTGCATGGAGAAAAATAAAGCGGAGAAAGTGGGTAAGGAATGCTGGGGTGGCATGGGTGGCAATGACATTGGAGCAGGACCTGAAAAGGAGGCAGGAGCAAGCCGTACAGACAATGAAAGCTGGTGTGAAGGCTCTGTGGTGGAGATTGCCTAATGTGTTGCAGCCTTATCAAGAACTCCATGCAGGGGCCTGGCTGGTGTGGCTTAGTGGATTGAGCACCAGCCTGTGAACCAAGGGGTCTGGCATTGGATTCCTAGGCCGGGCGCATGCCTGGATTGTGGGCCGGGTCCCCAGTGGGGGGCGAGCAAGAGGCAACCACACATTGATCTTTCTCCCTCTCATTCTCCCTCCTTTCCCCTCTCTCTAAAAATTAAATCTTAAAAAAAAAAAGGAGGCAATATGTATGTGAGGATGAAAATAAAGCAGGAAAGGTGGCCAAGAAGGGAGTGGCTGAGGAAGGCCTTGCGAAGAATTGATATTTGAGCCAAGACAGCAGGCAGGGTGGGCCAGCTGGACTTGGGGAGGGAGAGTGGCCCAGGTGGAGGAAGTGGCGGGGCACAGGCAGGATCGCCCTTAGTGTGGGAGGGTGGCTGGAAGGGAGTGCAGGAATGGAGAGGACAGGACGACTGGTGTTACTGCCAGGTGAGGTGGGAACTGACGATGTGATCTGACTTAGGACCTCTGGTGGCCATATGAAGAACAGCTGTGGGGGCAGGGAAGGAAGCCAGGACCTTGAAGGGGGCTGTAGCTGCCCTCTCTGCCAGCGCTGGGTGTCCTTCCTGGGGTCCAAGACTGGGCGGCTGGTAGAGGAAGAACCAGGAAAGGAAGCTAAGGTCAGAGGAAGCCAAGAGGGCAGGGAGGGGTTCAAAAACAGGCTGAGAGCTGCAGAGATATTAGAGAAGGGATCTGAGTGGCCCCTTCTGGCTCTTGCCAGGCGGGCATGGCAGGGCCTGCAGGAGAACACCTTGGTGGGTTGGGGTGAAGAGAGAAGGGGGCCCTGACCAGGCAGCTCCATCAGTGAGAGGGTTGTGTTGATGTGCTGAGCTTGTGGGTTTGATCCCTGGTCAGAGCATACGCAACTATAACCAGTGAATGTGTAAATAATGGGAACAACAAATTGATGTTTTTGTTTCTCTTGAAAAAATATCGATAAATTTTTTTAAAGGTGGGGGCTGAGGAAGTAGTGACAGCCAAGGTGGACACCTTCTGCTGAGTGTTGCAGAGAAGGAGGAGAGAGGGTGCTGTGGTTGGCAGGGCCACGACGCTGTGTGCTTGGGCTGCACGTGCAGGATGGTCGTGGGGTCACAGCCTGTGTGCAGTGGGCACTGGCACTGAGGTGGCCTGCCTGACCACTCGGGCGTGGGTGACGTGTGCTCCCTTGGGCCTTGTGACTGGGACTTGGGTTCAGATGCAGCAGCAGCTTAGAACCACTGTTACAGGGATGCCCCTTCTACGGTTCTCGGCTCCGGCCCACTTTGTCCAGGAGGTGTGTCCCTAATCAATTTCCTGGTCACGAGAGTCAGAGCTTCTCCAATCTTGGCATGGGGAGGAGGCCGGGGTGCTCTGACCCATCTCTATTCCATGTCACCTCCAATTTGTCTTCCTGTCTCCAGCTCCCTCTGCTTTTTTGTCCTCTCTGGCCTGGTATTTTGGCCACCAGGTATCACTGTGACAGCCAGGGGACTTGTGGAGTAGAGGGGTGGTTTGGCCAGAGGAGGGTGCTGCTGGCCCAGGTTTGCGCAGGCCAGTGGCCCCCCCTGCCCTGGGGCTGGCAGGGCCTCGCTGGGACTCCCTGAGCTGTTCACGAAGGTGGAGAGGCCGCAGGTGGAGAGGCTGGTGTGTAGTGTCGGGCCCCACACATCACAGGGAGATTGAAGAGGGAGAGGTTAAAGAAACCGAGCCTGCTCTGCAGCGACTGAGGTAGAAGAGGGAGAGAGCTTATGGAGAGTGAGACGAGAGCTGGGGCTTCGCAGCCTGAGTGGTGTGGGCCTTCGGGCCGGGAGGAGGAGGGCTGGCGTGAACGGGGGAGAGTCGTGCAGCCCAGGCCCTGGCCAGCCCAGGGAGAAGAGACCAGAGGAGGTGGCCCTTCTCTGGGAAGAAATCCCCGTTTCTCTCCTCTGGAATCGTCTGCTCAGAGGAGAGCTGAGGAGGTGCTTTTCTACTTGGGACACAGATGGCCTGTGTCCCCAGACATAAACTGCACTCTGCTTCCCCGGCACTGAGGCACTTCCGGGGCGTCTGGAAGTTGGTTTTGATGTCTCTGACAGACAGTCAGTCCCCGAAGTCCCCTCAGTTCCGTGGTTTCCTAGGGAGTTTGTGGGGCTTTGTGGACACAACGCAGCTTTGAGAATTTTCTTTGATGACATCAAAACACCCTGGGCACCAAAATTCTTACCCAAGTCATCACAGTGACCTGGGGATGCAGGTACAATGGGTGGAGCTGGTGTGCGTGGCATTGTGGGGGGAGGTGGGAGGCTTGATTTCCTGAAGGCGTATGTTCTTCCCCACGTCTCCTGTTTTCTGAGCTTACCGCGGGGAAGGGAGCCTGGCCAAGTGGCTATGGTCTCAGGCCCAGCAGGGCAGCACCGAGTATGGACCTTTCGCAGGAAGTTAGTTGGTCCAGAGCTATCGCTGGGCCTTGGAACCTGACCTGACTTGTGCCCAGCCTTTCTTAAGCTGTGAGCTCATCTGTCTGATGTCCCCTGCAGATCGCTCGATGACAGTGTGCAGCCCTGTGTCTGCCATGCACCACGTTGTGGGCGTGCCCCCCATACTGGTGCGGAGAGGCCTCCTTGGAAGGCACCGGATGACCAGGGCCCTGTGCAGCCCAGGCCCTGGCCAGCGCAGGGAGAAGAGACCAGAGGAGGTGGCCCTTGGGCTGTTCCAGCGCCTGTCAGCCCTGGGAAGGGCCCTGGGGCACGGCCTTCAACAGCGAGCATCCTCCACCTTCAAGACGTGGTGGGACAGATACGAAGAGTTTGTTGGGCTCAGCGAGGTTCGGGAGGCCCAGGGAAACGTGACCGAGGTGAGCCGGGCAGCCCGGGGGCTGCTGCCAAACAAGTCACCGGCACATCCAAACTGGCCTTTTCCCAAACAAGCACCACTAGTAGAGGGATTTGACTGTTTCTCGGCCGGTTGGTGGGATTGCAGCCCCCCCCCCCCCTGAACACAGGCTGCCATGCACCGGGGTGCCCCTGGCCAGTAGCATCCATTCTGTCAGGCTGGCACGTGCTTCCTGCATTGGCCATTTGGGGGTTGGTGGGGAGAGTGGCCGGCAGGGTTCCTGGGCCCCCAAGTGGGATTAAAACATCCCTTGTGGAGGTGGGGGCCCTGGGAAACATCCTCTGTGGCCTTGGAATCTCCCTTCCCGCTCCTGCCTCCGTGCCGACCAGCGCAGTGACGGGAAGGTGGGGGGAGCTGGGCGTCAGCGGGAGGTTTCGAAGTCATGACCTTGGCTGAGCTTGGGTTTCTGGGTGGGTCAAATGGGGGCCGTGACAATGGCGCTGTTGTAAGATGTAAATAAGGTGACACACAGAACATCTCGAGAATATAGGTTTTCTTTCTGTGGTTGGCGTCAGACCAGAGCTGGCTGGGTTGGTGCATTCTTAGCTGTTTTCAAGTTTCTCAGGGGCATGTTATTTCCACTTGACTGGACAAATCCGGTGACGCAGACGGCGATTCAGCCCAGAGCTGCACTTGGAGGAGGATGGCTGGGTGACCCAGGACCAAGCTTCTGGGGAACGGTCTTGCCACCTTCTGCCCTGACACCCCACTTACCTTTCTCAGCCAGTCTTGCTGAGAACAGAGCTGAGCCTGTGGGGATGTGGAGAGAAGGGACCAAGACTTGCGCTGTTCTCTCTGCAGGCAGAGAAAGCGTTCATGGTGGCGCGGGGGCTTGTCCGCGAGGCCCGGGAGGACTTGGAGGTGCAGCAGGCCAAGCTGAAGGAGGTGAGAGACCGCCTGGACCGCACCTCCAGGGAGGATAACCAGTACCTGGAGCTGGCAACTCTGGAGCACCGCATGCTGCAGGTAGGCTTTTCGGGAGGCAGCGCTTCCTCACCTGGGCAGGACCCCTAGCCAGGCAGGTGAAGGAGGGGCAAGGTCTGGAGGTCAGAGACCTGGTAAGGAGGTCAACCAGAAGCTCTTCTGGGGGGTCTGGGCCCCAGGTTTCCTGAGCCCATCCTCCCACTTCCTCCTGGAGTGTGAGGGTCCCAGAGCAGGGCAGCATGATGTGGCCCCAGATTGCTAAGGAGGGAGCACTGGGGAGAGGTTGCTGGCCAGAGAGCACCAGACACTTGCCTTCCAATAGACACGTTCTGTAGACATCAGTACAAGTCTGGTGAGAGCCAAGACTGCCTGGGTAGGATAGTGCAGCCACTTCACACCCCCCGCCCCCTCCCTGTTCCTTTGCTCCCCACCCCCACACAACCAGGCTTAGGCTGCCTTCATTCATTGACATTTCATCGGCACCAGGCCTGAGGCTCAGCCTCAGGGGCATGGAAGTGGGACATCTGCCGGCAGCTATAGCTGCAGGGCCACATGGCCACTGGATGACAGGGCTGTGCTTCTGCAGGAGGAGAAGAGGATTCGCGCCGCCTATCTGCGTGCTGAAGACGCCGAGCGCGAACAGTTCTCCCTCTTCTCTGCGGCTGTGCGGGAAAGTCACGAGAAGGAGCGTGCTCGGGCCGAGAGGACCAAAAACTGGTCCCTCATCGGCTCAGTCCTGGGGGCCCTGATCGGCGTGGCTGGCTCCACCTATGTGAACCGTGTGCGGCTGCAGGAGCTAAAGGTCTTACTTCTGGAGGCGCAGAAGGGGCCCATGAGCCTCCAGGAGGCCATTCGAGAACAGGCGTCCAGCTACTCCCTCCAGCAGAGGGACCTTCATGACCTCATGGTAGACCTAAGGGGCCTGGTACAAGCTGGGCCAGGGCAGAGCTCTGGGTCCCAGGCAGGTGCTTCCCCTGCCCGAGACAGGGGCCCAGATGCTCTTTCATCCGCCCTGAAGGAGCAGCTCAGCCATTCCAGGCAGGTCCATGCCTGTCTAGAGGATTTACGAGAACAGCTTCATGGTCTGGAAAAGACTTTCAGCCAAACGGCTGGGGCGCTTCAGCTCGCAAAGGCTGCAGACAGGGCTCTGCCCGGCTCCACGCTGGAGCAGGGGAGCATGCTCGTGGCGCTGGAGGACGTGGAGCAGAGGCTGGAAGCCCAGGTCAACCGGAACACCATCTACAGCACGCTGGTGACCTGTGTGACGATTGTGGCCACGATGCCTATGCTCTACATGCTGTTCAGGGCCAGCTAGCCCCTGGACCCCGGTCCAGAGGGTTGGGGGTGTGGGTGTGGGCGTAGCGGAGGGTCTCAGCAGGCAGCGAGCCTCCTTTGGGGACACAGCCTCAGCTGGAGTCTGAGTGCGGTCTGCGCGGCCCACCAGCAGACACACTGGCCTTTTAGGCAGTGCTCATTTATACTAATCGTGGAAACTTTGTGCTCATGTCCAATTAAAATGTCTTTGAGTTTGTGTTATTTAAAGTAATGTATGCCAGACTCAGTTTTGTCTGTTGAAAATTGAGACTCAAGACTCGAGGGTTTGGTCTGGAACTATGGTAACTTCCCCCTTTTGTACCTGTCTTACCTCTCTTGGTTTTGTCCTTGGTTCAGGACTGTTTTGGATACATTTGCCCTTGGATTTTCTTTCTTTAAATTTCACTTGTTTCTTTTTAGAGAGGAGAAAGAGAGAGAGAGAAACATCAGTGTGTGGTTGCCTTTTGTGCGCCCCCAACTGGGGACCTGGCCCACAACCCAGGCGTGTGCCCTGACTGGGAATCAAACCAGCAACCCTTTGGTTCGCAGGCTGGCATTCAATCCACTGAGCCACACCAACCAGGGTGAAGTCCGGATTTTCATTTTGGATTACCTGGCCTGCCTTCCGGTGCCCCGACCGTCCTGTGTCAGGCAGCCTGGGCATTCCAGTGAGTGGAACCTGGCCTGCTGCCACCCATTGACCACTCATTGATGACCATGGATCCCTTCTCTGGATCACTTTCTCTGCCACGGTGGGGAGCACCTTCAAGTTCTAGTGCAGGAGGGATAATCAGAGGAAGGCAGGGAAGAGGGATCGGGGAAAACCCTGATAAAAATCGCTGGGAACATAATTACAGGGACTGGTGGCCAATCCAATCTGGGTCCCTGGTGCAAAGTACTTTGGGCAGCTCTGGTGTGCCACTCGGGCAGGGTGTCCTCCCACACAGCCCAGGGATGGCCTCTACAGGCAGGGACAGAGCTCAGCCCGCCAGCAGTGTGAGCAGAGAGACAGCGATGGGGAGGGGCCTCCCAGAGGTGGGAGGCATGGAGGCGGACTTCCTGAGGACCTCTGACCTGTTCCTTTCCAGGGGAGAAGGGCAACCTTTGGCTTCCTGGACTCGATGGCCATGGATGGCCTTGTGTGCCCTTGAGCAAACAAGAGCAGTAGGGAGGCCTCTGTACTCCCCATGAAGTATTGGAGGACCTCAGGCCTGGAGAAACTCAGAGCACACCGAGGTGGGCCCTGGGGTGTGGGTAGGTGCTTTCTGTGCGTGTGCTAAGCAGATGCCTGTGAAGCCAGCGGTGTTTCTTATAAGGTGACCTCCTTGGCCCTGGTTGGTGTGGTTCAGTGGATTGAATGTCGACCTGCAAACCAAAGGGTCACCGGTTCGATTCCCAGTCAGGGCACATGCCTGGGTTGCAGGCCAGGTCCCTGATGCAGGGCGCATGAGAGGCAACCACACGTTAATGTTTCCAACTCTTTCTCCCTCCTTTCCCTTCTCTAAAAAGAATAAAATCTTAAAAAGAAAAAAAAAGGTGCCCTCCCTTCCTGAATCCTGGGAAGGAATCCTGAAGTGAGTGTGGCCCTGTGGGTGCTTTGAACCTCAGAGCACCTGGCCCCTTGGTCATTTGGTTACTTCATCCCTGGCAATGTCTTCTTAATGTTTCCCAGGACGGCCTGGGAAGGGATGCATTTGGGTGTCCACACTCCTGGTGGGGCTGGAGATGCCCTACTGTGTACAGATAAGGGCTGCTACGGGCTTTAGAAGTGCCAGGTCCCTCTTGGGGTGCAGCAGGTCCTGAACGGCTGTGCACTCGAGCGAATGGAGTTAAGGAGGAGAGGGTTACGGGCACATGGAAGGGTCTCCCCACAAGCTGCATGGGCGGGAAAGCCACAGTAGGAGACGGCCTTGGGACAGACTGACCGGGCTGAGGTGGTGATGGCTGTGGGGGGGTACGGGGCACAAGGCCAGACACTGAGATGGAGGAGCCGGGTGCCGGATGTTGGAGGCCAGGGACGAGGGAACTGGGGAGAGGGTGCCACTGGTACAGAGTGGGTGCTGGGAAGGGGTAGAGGAACGGGAGCGACCTGAGGCCTCGGGAAGGGAGAATTTAGAAGGCAGAGTGGGGTAGATGAGAGTAAAGGCAGACTCTTACAAAAAGTTTTTGTTTGTTTTATTGATTGTAGAGAGGGGAAAGGAGGGGGTAGAGAGAAACACTGGTGTGAGGGAGCAACACTGACGGGTTGCCTCTTGCACTGACTGGGGAGCAGACACAACCCAGGCATGTGCCCTGACCAGAACTGAACCTACGACCTTTTGGTTCACAGGACTCAGCCCATCCGACCGAGTCACACCAGCCAGGGCTAAAGGCAGACTCCTAATGGGGGCTGGAGGTGGCAGGTGGAAAGAGGGTGGGTGTGGTGGTAGCGCTTCCAATAGTAGCCAGCATGCATGACCTGAACCTTTTGGCTGAGGCTGTCCCTAGCGTGTAGAGGCTCCGGGGGCTACCGGGGTGGTGCGTATGTGTGACAAATTTTGCCTGCGAGGAGGCCATCCCGATGGCCTTGAGGCAAAATTCTCCAAAAGTCCTAATAGGTAATAGGACAGGCCAGATCCCAGCGGGAGTTTGCAATGGGCAGGCCAGGGTGAGAAAGGCCCAGCAGGGGGCACAAATGGGCTTCTGGAGGGAATCCTTCTACCCCGCAGTTCCTCCTCGGACCGCCCAGGTATTTGGTGGTGAGGGAGTTTAGACTTGCCCAAGGCTTCTCAGCTTGGGGTGGGTCCAGGTCCAGGCCAAGGGAAAAAAGGAAATGCGCCCTCGCTCGTGTATTTTTGCAGTCGACTGCGCCCTCCTTCAACAGTGGGGCTAGGTGTGGTATCACTTCCACTTGCCGGTGAGCAAACAGGCGGGTGTGTGGTGGGGGGTGGCAGGGGTCAGGTTACTTGGCTTAGTGATGGCGCAAACCCAGCCTCAGCCCCAGTGCTTGCGCTCTTCCCGCATTGCCGGAGGTGGGGGCCGGAAGGAGGGGGTTGCCTGTTCGGGAGTCCTGGGAGTAGGGTCGGTGGGCAGGACCGGGCGCGGTAGGAGAAACCGGGTGCCCGGGAGCTCAGGTAAACAAAGTTGGGGGCGGCAGACCACGGGAGTCAGGTATTGGAAAGGAAAAGGGGAAACTCTGGACTTTGTAGGGCGGAGGTGGTGGCTAGCGAACCGCAGGAGCGGGTTAGGGGCGAGGGTCCCACCCGACGCTGGCGGGCAGAGAGAGGCAGGGGCGCTCTAGGTACCACCACACCTGGGGTGCGTTGCGCGGTCCCCGCCCCTCCCATCCAGGAGGGCTCCCAATTCCGGTTCTTCGCAGCGCGCAGGTGAGGCCCGACGGGGGCGGGGCGGGGTGGGGCGGCGTGGGGCGGCCTGCAAGCGGAGCTTTACTTCATCCCCCACCCGGTGCGATCCGCGTCGCCTCGGCTACCTCCGGGGTATAGCCTGCCCCTCCCCACAAGAGAGGGGTTGAGTCCCTGGCCCTCAGCAAGTGCGGAGCCCGCGGGGGGTCCCAGGCGGCTCCGGGCGCGCGCGGCTCTCCGGGCGGCTTCCGGCCTGGCCTGGGCGGCGGAGGGGGGAGGGCGGCCCGGCGGGCGCGGGGGAAGGAGCGGAGCCGGCCCGGCCGACGGGCTTTGTCTCCTTTGTTCCCGGCGGTGGCAGCGCTGCGGCGGGAGGGGCGGGCAGCGGGCGCAGTTTTCCGCCCTTCGGTCTCCGGGTAACAGCTGCGGCTCCGCCAGACCCACCTCCGAGGGGCGAAGGAGGGACAGCGAGGTCGCTGTGCGCAGCTCCTGAACCCGGAGCGGCCGGCGTCCGCCTCGGCGCGCTCATCCCACGGCCCGGCGGGGCGGTGAGTGCAGGGCGGGGGGCCGGGGTGGTGGATACCCGGCACCGCGGCGTGCCCCAAGGGAAAGGGCCTCAGGCCTGGATCCCGCGGGGCAGTGGCAGCCCGGTGAGTGGTGGGCGGCTTCGGTCCTGAGAGTTGGGACCACACTTCTGCGCGTAAATGGAAACTCTGGCGGCTGCGCCTGTAACGCGATTGGGAGAGAGAGGAGGTGGAGCTGCTCCTCCGCGCCCCCTCCTCGCCGCCACCGCCTCAGCTAGAACCGGCCGGCCCCTTCCCCGCCCTCCCAAGACCACTGGTAGGGTCCTTGCCCCCGCTGCCCGGGAGAGGAGGGCGGAGGGCTGGGGAAGAGCTGTTGGGGAGGTCGAGGCTTTCCCGCTCGTAGTAACAGCCCTTCAGGCTGCGCTCGGTGCAGTCTCCTGCCACGCATCTCCTGGGGGAATCTCTTATCCGTACACAAACTGTTGAGTCCTCTCGGGGGCCGGGTAAATAAGTGGTAGATCCTCCCACCCCGGGTCAACGGACAGACAACTGGAGGAGCTGTGCTCTCTACATCTCTGTCAATGAGTAACTTCTCGGCGGCCCGGGAGCCGCGGAGTGGGGAAAAGGCAAGGCCAGCTTCCCAGTAGTTTCCAGGAGTCGGAACATGAGGGCTGGGTATGACCCCTCTCCAGATGTGAAAGGGCAGAGTTTGTGAGCCTCTTTGGTTGGGGAGGACATCCCAGAGGGGCCCAGGAAGTGCTTGCTCTTCACGGATGGAAATTAGGCAGCTTGGGTCGTACCCCACAGGTCCCAGAAGGGTGGGCCAGGGGATATTTAAGGACAGGCCTGGGCACAGGCAGAGTGAGCCTTTGGCTGCGAGCCTGGCGGGCCGAGATCTGCGGAGTGGGCAGGAGGTCGGGCTGTGCAGGTTGGGGACATGAGGCCTGGCTCCAAGCCCTCCTTTCCAGCTCGCTCTGACCTGCTCATTATTAACGGTGCTGCTCACACCCTGTGCTTTGAGAGGCCAGGTAGCTCAGAGAGCCCCACATCTTTCCTATGGGCCAAGTTTCCTTGGCTATGAAGGGGAGTTCTTATAAGGAGCATCTACTTTGTGTTACCTTGCTCTGTCCCAGTCGCCGGAGCCTCTGAATCAAAAGCCACCCTCCCTGCCTTCAAGGAGCTTTCAGTCCAGAGTGGGTGGGATAGGGAGGAAAGTGGCCTTGGTTGGTGGCACTAGTGCCAGGCATACACACTGCCACCCGGAACGGTCAGAGCAGTCCTGTTACCCGTTTGGCCCAAGGCAGCTCTGCACACTCTCCGCATGGAGTGGGCTCGGCGGCTCCGGTTGACAGGGAAGGCTCCCCTGGGGGATGATGGCTGGGAGCTGAGTTAATGGGCTAGAGTGGGAGTGGGCATTCCAGGCAGTGGCGACAGCCCGTGTGATGCCAGGGAGGAGCCAAGTGGCCTGCAGTGCAGGCGCCAGGCACGAGGAGCATGTGATGGGAGAGGGTGGGGGCGCAGGGGCTTGGTCTTCATCCCAGGCCCCCGGGTGCCCCAGAGACTCCGGAGGGCGGGGGACATGCTTCGATTGTGCTTGAAGATCCTGAGGAGTGGGATTGATGGAGAGCTGGGGGCTGCTCTGTGGCCTGTGGTAGAGGTTACCTGAAGCAGGAATGCCCAGCACGGAAGGGGAATTGTCACTGCCCTTCTTTTCCTCTTCCCCCTCCTGTGGTAAGTGGGGACAGGCGAGGGGTCCTCCTAGGCCCGGTTTCAGTGACTTCAGAAGCCTGCCCCATGGGAGCCGTTCTGGTCCCGCCCACCTTCCTCTGGGCCTTCCAGTTGAGATTTTACATTTGGGGAGTGTCTTGGTTGCTGCCCCTTGAGAGCTAGAGAGCCTTGGCACACAGAAGGCTCTGAGCAAATGTTTGTGAGCGGATAGAGGCGTGAATGCTGGTCTGGCCGTGGACCCTGTGCCCTGGCACACCCCTCAGCAGGAGGCTGCAGGAGGGGAGAGAGCGGCAGCCAAGCACAGGAGGTGGCCTCTGCCCATCCTCAGGCACACCCTGTCTTCCCAGAGGAAGAAACTTTCTTCCCTCACCCTTTGGAAACAGGGTGGGGGGGCTCCTGGAAGCCTGGCTTTGCCACCGTCCTGGGCTTCTGGCCGGGTTCACGACTCTCTTGCCACCCCCACCCCCTGCCGCCCCCTCGGGTGGCAAACAGAGGCGGCCTTGTTTCTGCTCCCATAGAGCTGCCCTGTTCTCTGCACACTAAAAATGGAAACCCCCAAGCTATTTCGGGAGCATTGCCCAGCCGGGCAGTGGCCGAGGCTCCTACTGGGTTGCTGGACCCTCCTCCCAGCCTTTGGTCCAGCCCCACTCACTCTGAGGCAGCCTTGGGGATGCCCCGTGGTGCCCTTGGCTGGGAGGGGCTGACCTGGCCGAGGGAGACTCTCCCACAGGCAGACTGGCAGCCGGGTGGTGGGAGGGGCTGGGCAGCGTGGCCTGGGTACAGGCAGGCCAGGAAGCACCTTATGGTCTGGGATGTACGGCTTGTACCAATGCTTCCCCAGCCTTGGTGCTGCTGTCTGAGGACCACCGGGCCTGGGGAAGGCGGTGTTGCCATGGTTTCCTGGCCCCAGCAGGCCTTAGCTGGGGCCTGTGAGGAAGGGTCTGGGGCACTCCTGGGGGTGGGGGGCACAGCTGGGCATTGTGACTTGCTCTAGGATGCCCCATTCCCCAGCCTGGGCCCAGACTCTCCTTTGACCTTGTGGCGAGAGAATAGGAAGGGGTGGCCTGGCTGCCACAGCCCTCTAGGCCTTAGGGCTGGAACCGGGGACATGTGTATGAGTCTCTGTGTGGGTGCCCGAGTGTGTAATCCACGGTATGTGGGTGTGGCATGTGCCTGTGCGAAGTGCATGCTTGTGCGATGTGCGTGTGAGGAGGTTGTCTCTGTGGATGTGTAAGTGCAGGCAGTGTCTGCCCGTGTTCTGTGCACAAGCGTCTGCATGGGACTCGTGCTTCTCGGTGTGTGTGAGCATGTGTCTGCTTCTGTGCTGTGGCGGTTTGGGCCAGGACAGCCCCTGGCCCGTGTGGAGGCATGTTCCTGGCTGCCTGGGTAGGTGGGGTTTGGGCAGAGGGTGAGAGTGGCAGAGTGCCAAGAAGGGGCCGCGGTGGACGGGGCCGTGCTGGGGCCCCACTGAGCCCTGCCAGCCCTGGGGCTCCTTCCTAGCTGCCCTTTCCCAGGCTCTGAGGGTGCCTGATCCTCCCACCACCCCCTCCCTGTGCAGCTCTGAGGAGGCGTCCCCTGTGGAATGTGTTTGGTGGCTGAGGGCCAGGCTGGGCCCGGTTCCACCGGCAGGCTGCGCAGGGAGCAGGGGGCACCTCTGTGCTGCCCCCGTGTGCCCACAGCCCAGCCTCCAGCTTCACGCTCTGCTTTCTCCCTGGCCAGGTGACTCCTGCACAGGTCATGCCCTTGTCTCCCGACCCAGCTGGCCCTGCCAGGTGAGCCTGCCCTCACACCTAGGCACCGAGGAGGAGCACGACTCCCACCTCTCCTGGAGGCTCTGTAGGGTGGGGTCCAACCTTCGAGGCCTCCTCCCGGTGGCAGGAACCTCCCTCTTCTCCCTGGCCCTTTGGTTCTGTGCTCACAACCCTGTGGATTCTGCCTGAAAGGCCCATCCTCCAAATCTTGCCCCAACCTGTGAGTGGCCCGTGGGACCTCACCCTCCCTCCTTCAGGCTCAGGACCCCGTCCCATCTTCCCACTTTCTCCTGCCCCTTCCAGGGTCCTGGGGCGCAGGGTGTGTTCCATGGCTCTGCCTCTGCAGTCCCACAGGGCTCTCAGGCCCTGTGGTGGGTGCCACAGGGTAGTGCAGGGTGAGATTGGGCGGGGGGTCAGGTTCTCCTAAGAGAATAGTGCTTGCAGAGAACAGGCAGTTTTGAAGTTTCCAGGAAAGATCTCCTGACCCCTTGCTAGGAGGTGGTCCTGGGGTTAGCCTGGACCACAGTGCTTCTGCTCACCCCCTGGGTTAGAAGGGGCCTCTTGGCAGTGACGTAGCCCTGTCCCTCACCTGTGTCCCCGTGGCGCTCTGGTGGCCACGTGAGCCCTGCTCTACCTCTCTCCCTGCCAGGTGACCATGCCTGGCCTCGGCCCAGGTCTTCTCCAGGTGCTCTGGGCTGGGTGGGTCCTCACCCTCCATGCCCCTCCACCGGCTGCTTTCACTCCCAACGGCACACATCTGCAGCACCTGGCACGGGACCCCACCTCCGGCACCATCTACCTAGGGGCCACTAACTTCCTGTTCCAGCTGAGCCCGGATCTACAGCTGGAAGCCACCGTGCCCACTGGCCCTGTGCTAGATAGCAGGGACTGCCTGCCGCCTGTGGTGCGTGATGAGTGCCCTCAGGCCCAGCCCACCGACAACCTGAACCAGCTGCTCCTGGTGAGCCCGGGGGCCCTGGTGGTGTGCGGGAGTGTGCACCAGGGGATCTGTGAGCAGCGGGCACTCGGGCAGCTCCAGCGGCTGCTGCTGAGGCCAGAGCGGCCTGGGGACACCCAGTACGTGGCCGCCAATGACCCTGAGGTCAGCACTGTGGGACTGGTGGCCCAGGGCTTGGCTGGGGAGCCCCTCCTGTTTGTGGGACGAGGATACACCAGCAGGGGTGTCGGGGGTGGCATCCCTCCCATCACAACCCGGGCCTTGCAGCCACCAGACCCCCAGGCTGTCTTTTCTTATGAGGAGACGGCCAAGCTGGCAGTGGGCCGCCTCTCTGAGTACAGCCACCACTTTGTAAGCGCCTTTGCACGTGGGGACAGCGCCTACTTCCTGTTCCTGCGGCGGGACCTGCAGGCTCAGTCGCGAGCCTTTCGCGCCTATGTGTCTCGAGTGTGTCTCCGGGACCAGCACTATTACTCCTACGTGGAGCTGCCCCTGGCCTGCCAGGGCGGCCGCTATGGGCTGATCCAGGCTGCGGCCGTGGCCACGTCCAGGGAGGTGGCCCAGGGGGAGGTGCTCTTTGTAGCCTTCTCCTCAGCCGGTTCCCCCACGGTGGGCCGGCCGCCATCGGCTGCCACCGGGCTGTCAGGGTCCTCTGCTCTCTGTGCCTTCCACCTGGACGAGGTGGACCACCTCGCCAACCTCACACGCGACGCCTGCTACACTCGGGAGGGCCATAGCGAGGACGGGGCCGAGGTGGCCTACATCGAGTACGACGTCAACTCCGACTGTGCGCAGCTGCCCGTGGTGAGTCCCGGCGCCCAGCCGTCTCCGAGGCCTCCGGCCAGGCTCTCCTTGCCCAGCAGCTGTGTGGGAGTCTGAGGGGAAGCTGGTGGCAGTATGGGGGCCAAGCAGGGCGGCGATGTTATGGGTGTGACTTCCTTGGTGTCTGGGCGGTGGCGGGGCATCTGCAGTAAGTGTGGCATTTGGGGGGGCAGAGCTGGCGATGGGGCTTGGCCTGGGCTCTGAAGGGGCGGCATTTGTGTAGATGGGTTGAGAGGGTGTTTGGGGATCGGGGACTGGGACTTGTTGTTTGAGGTTTTTAAGCAAGAGGGCAGGTGAGGTTGAGACTTGTTTGGCTCTAGCCTCAGGATGGCTTAGAGAAGGGAAGGGAGAAGCTGCATACAGGGGCCTGGCTCACTGAGCCGTCAGAGTCCAGGGGCCACTGTGGACTTGGGGCTGAGCGTGCAAGGTGGGAGGGGCGTGGGAGGAGAGGGCTGGGAGAAGGCTGAGCTTATGCCTACACTGGAGGAAGCAGCTCCCAGGCCAGGGATGTGCAGAGGTGGGCCCCCGTGGGTGGGAATCAAAGAGGAGGAAGGGGCTGTCCGAGGCAGCTGCACAAGAGCCACCCAGGCAGGGCTTAGGGTGCAGCTGTGGGAGACATCGTTGGGGAGGCTGGCGGCAGGGATGGGATTGTCCCAGGAGGCCTGGCAGAGGAGACGGTTGTTCCGGGAGAACTGGCCGAGAGCCTGGGGAAAGCAGTAGGTTAGCTGGGAGGATGGGGTAAGGAGGCCGTCCGGGGGGGGCTCATCGGTGCTTCCTGTTTCCGGCAGGACACCCTGGATGCCTATCCCTGTGGCTCAGACCACACGCCCAGCCCCATGGCCAGCCGTGTCCCCCTGGAAGCCACGCCAGTTCTCGAGTGGCCAGGGGTTCAGCTGACAGCCGTGGCGGTCACCATGGAGGATGGACACACTGTTGCTTTCCTGGGTGACAGTCAAGGGCAGCTGCACAGGGTGAGTCCACGGGAAGTACTGGGCCCTGTCCCAAGGTCTGGAGGGGACGAGTATGGGGGAGCCCAGCCTGGGCAAAGCTATTCCTGTGACCCCAGGGGCTGGCATACAGGCTCATGACAGGCCCCAGACCCCAGGCTGGGAGAGGTGACCAGTGCTCCTCTTCCTGGGGCTGGGTGGGGTTTAACTGGGATCCCCACTTCTTCTGATCCCCTCTTCTGTCCCCAGGGCTGGGTATAGTGACCCGTTGTGACTGGGAGGAAATCCACCCATAAATTGCTTCAATGTGGGGACAGGGAGAACCTTGGGCCTGTGGCCATGGACTTCCAGATCTATGGGCCCCAGACCTAGTGGTTTCTGATCTCAGGTGTACTTGGGCCCGGGAAGTGATGGCCATCCATACTCCAGCCAGAGCATCCAGCGGGGGTCTGCAGTGAGCGGAGACCTCGTATTTGACGGGGCCTTTGAGCACCTGTATGTCATGACCCAGAGCACAGTGAGTGCCAGGCAACCGCTGGGGCCAGGACGCTGGGAGGGGCCTGGAGCTGGGTCAGGGACCCATACCTGGGAGAGCCACTGGAGTTCGGATTGCTGGCCTCACGTCCCCTTTGCCGTCCCAGCTTCTCAAGGTTCCTGTGGCTGCCTGTGCTCAGCACCTGGACTGCGCGTCTTGTCTGGCCCACAGGGACCCGTACTGCGGGTGGTGTGTGCTCCTGGGCAGGTCGGTGCCCACCAGCCCCCAGCCCCTTCCCCGGCCCTGACCCCAGCCTCCTGCCCTCAGTGCTCCTGCGTAGTCGCCCTGTCCAGGATTCCTGATGCTTGGCCCTCCACCCTCAACCCCTGACCTCTGGATGTCCTAGTCCCTCACCGTATCCCCCACCCTTGGTGTCATTGCCTTGCCAGGGTACCCCCATCCGGGCATCATGTCCCAGTGGGGGACCCTGCCCAGGACCATAGGTGGTCCTGCCCCATGAACTCCCGGGGGCCCTGTGAGGGTCACAGGTGGACGCTGGTCATTCTTGCCCAGGTGCAGTCGTCGTTCTGAGTGCTCGCGGGGCCAGGGCCCGGAGAGATGGCTGTGGAGCTTCCAGCCTGAGCTGGGCTGCCTGCAAGTGGCAGCCACGAATCCTGCCAACATCAGCCGAGAGGAGAGGAGGGAGGTGCGGGACCAGAGTGGGCGGGGCCCTGGTGGGGCAGTTTCTGGCGTAGATTTGGGTGTCAGGTGTACAAGATACCACATGGCCTTGCCCCTACCACACTGGGGGCCTCGCTTTCTCCCTTCGTTAGTAACCAGGCCTGTGGGTGTCTGTGAAGGTGGGGGTGCTGGGGTCTGCTGGTGGCCACTGATGCCTGCCCACACTGGGTGCCCCTTAAGCAGGAGCCCTGATCTGCTCCCCGGGGACCCCAGCACTGTGTCCTGGCCTCTCTTGGCAGGTTTTCCTGTCGGTACCTGACTTGCCACCCCTATGGCCGGGGGAGTCATATTCCTGCCACTTTGGGGAACATCAGAGTCCTGCCCTGTTGACCAGTTCGGGTGTGACGTGCCCCTCCCCAGACCCTAGTGGGGCCCCAGCGCTGCCGAGAGGAGCTGGTGCGTGAGACCAGGGACCAGCCCCAGGGCCCGGGAGCCAAGCCCGCCTCCCACCTTGCTCCCAGGGGCGTGGTCTGGGTGAGGTGTGAATTCAAGCCTTTCTCTGAGTCTCCCCACTAGTCCCCAAGGCCCTAAATCCCCCATTTTGTGTCCTGTGGACTGTGTCCCCCAACCCTGGGGACCCTTCCCCATCTGGGGTGCTAACTCCACTCTGTGTGGTCTCGTGACACCGTCTGGGGGGCTGAACACCCCTCCCTGCTCCTCAGCCCTGGCATTCTCCCCGCCTTGCAGACCACGTTTCTGTGAGTGTGGAGCTCAGGTTCGGTGCGGTCGTGATCGCCAGGGCTGCTCTCTCCTTCTACGACTGTGTGGCCGTCAGCGACCTCCACCCATCTGCACAGTGAGTGCCTCGCCCTGACGCCCAGGCCCGGGGCTGCTCCGTGGTGACCCCTGCCCCATGGCTGTGCTCTGTGCAGGTGCCGGGCCTGTGTGAGCAGCCGCTGGGGGTGTAACTGGTGCGTCTGGCAGCACCTGTGCACACACAAGGCCTCGTGCGACGCTGGGCCCGTGGTGGTCAGCCAACAGGTGAGCGTGACTCCAGTCTGGGCCGCATGGAAGCGGGGTATGGGGTCCCCCGGTGAGAGGCTTTCTGACGGCCCGGGGTCTGTGTGCCCACCTGCCCACCCACGGCTGCCATGTGTGACAACTCGTGCGGAAGGCGTCCACCGTCCAGCAGAGGACGTTTGTAGCTGAGAGGCAGGGAGGTCTGGACCTCGGGCCCCACCTCAGCACAGATGCCCCGGAGCCTGCCCTCCGCTTTTCTCCTGTGGAGAATTAATGGGCTGTTTTTGTTTCTCTTTTCCTTGGTCTCCTTTTCTCTTAACACATCCTTTGCCTGCCTGCCGCCTGCTCCTGCGCCTGCCTGCTGAGTGGCCCCTCCTGTCTTTCTCTGCCTCCCCCTCAGAGCCTGCTTCTGTCCTCAGCCCCTCCTGCAATAGAGGCACCCACCCCTTCCCCACCTGCTGCCCCTGAGGCCACGGTCACCCCCACTCCTGACCCCCTTCCCGTGGAGCCCGAGGCTCCCTCCTTAGCCACAGCTTCAGCTGTCCCGCCTGAGGCCAGTCCTTCCCTGCCGTGGGCAGGTCCCAGCCCCACACTTGCCTCCCCCGCCTCGGCCCCCACAGAGTCACCCCTCCATGAAGAGCCCCTCCCTCCCAGCTCCCCGGATAGACCTGGAACCACTGACCCTGCTGTCACTGACCTTGAACCTATGGCCACACCTGAGGACCTCTTGGCCTTCTACCCGTCACCCTCAGATGCAGTGGCACTGTCCTCTGCCCCCGCAGACCCTGGCCCCGAGACCTCCCCCACTGCGGTACCCCAGGACCAGCCCCCCAGCACCGCTCCTGCCACTACTTTCCCAGGGGCCGCTGGCTCCGCGAAGCCTACCCTGGACTGGCCCACGAAAGAAGGCGGCGAGCTGCCCGAGGCGGACGAGTGGATAGGGGGTGACACGCCCGCCTTCTCCACTTCCACCCTCCTCTCAGGTGACGGAGACTCGGCCGAGCACGAGGGCCCCCCGGCCCCCCTCATTCTCCTGTCCGGCCTTGACTACCAGTACGACACCCCCGGGCTCTGGGAGCTGGTGAGGCCCAGCCCGGGAAGGAGGCTTCGGGAGGTGGGTGGGGGCAGGCGCAGCCCCTTGCACGCCTGGCGGTTCTTCGTGGGCGGGGACAGGGGCGGGGTGGGGGCTGCAGCCCCACACGGCCTGGCCCCGGGGCTCTGTGTGGGAGAGGACGGAGGTGGCAGGGCCAGGTCCATAGCCTGCCTTGTTCTTGGTGCCTGTAGGAAGAGGCAAACCAGGGGGCCAGCTCCTGTCCTTGTGTGGAAAGTGTCGAGGGCTCCATGCTGATACCCGTGCATGTGAAGCGGAACGTGCAGCTGCTGGGCAGGAACCTGCGCCTCTTCCAGGTGAGCGGGTCCAGCTTGCGGGTGTCACTGTGGCCTCCTTGGCTGTTGCCAGACTGTGTATGAGCCCTGGGAAGCGGGAAGAGGGCCTGGCCCGGGGCCTCGGACCCCACCCGGGGCTGAGCTGGGGTTGCCACAAGGCTCCCCAGGCCCTGCTCCTGAAGCTGCCCCAACAGCCGCGGCCCCTGCCCCCAGGACAGCCCTGGAGACTACGAGTGTGTGATGGAGCTGGAGGGCCGAGAGGTGGCGGTGGCAGCCCAGGTCCAGTGTGAGCCTCCTCCAGACACGCGGTGCCGTGTTACGTGCCAGCAGCTGCAGGTGCAGGCCTCGGGTGGCTGGGTGGGCGGCGGGCCCTGGCCACAGGCTGGCTCCCAGTCCCGCTGGCCGTACCACACCTGTCCCGGCCCAGCTAGCTCTGACCCTGTGACCCTGAGGGAGTCTTGGTGCCCCATCTCTGATCTCTGATCTTGTGTCCTGTGGGGTCCCTATATCCCAGCTCTGCCTGCTCACCCAGGGGCCCCTCTGGGTCCCTACACTCCAGTTCTGCCTTGTGGCCCTGTATCCCTGGGGGCTTGGTAGCTCTGACCTCTGACCCTGTGGTCCCATGGGTTCCTACACCCCAAGTCCGACCGAGGTCTTTGTGTTCCCTCCGTGAGTCGTTTTGGTCCTTTCCCTGACCACCCCCTCCCCAGGCCTGCTGCCTCCCCAGCCCCAGACTCCGACCCCATTCCTGTCTCTACAGCTCAGCTACGACACTGCACAGCCAGAGCTTCACGTGGGGCTGTTCTTGCGCCGGGCTGGCCGCCTGCGTGTGGACAGCGCTGATGGGCTGCATGGTGAGCTTCAGGGGCTGCCGGGCCAGCTGCTGGCGGCGGGGCTCCTCCAGGCCTGCCTCTCACGTCTGTCTCTGCCACCCCCAGTGGTGCTCTATGACTGTTCCATGGGACACGGGGACTGCAGCCACTGCCAGACCGCCATGCCCCAGTACGGCTGCGTGTGGTGCCAGGGAGAGCGTTCGCACTGCGTGGCCCGGGAAGCCTGTGGTGGCGCTGAGGCTGTGGCCACCCAGTGCCCTGCCCCCCTCATCCACTCGGTGTGTTGGAATGCTGGCGTGTCCCTTCCTCGCTGCCACCCTGGGAGGGAGGGCGGACTGATCTGGGTCTGGGGGCCCAGTGGGGAGCTCCCCATACTACTGGGGGCGGCCAAGTGGGCGCAGGCGAGCAGTCCTTGTCCTGGAGCAGGTGGAGCCGCTGACCGGGCCGGTGGACGGAGGCACCCGCGTCACCATCAGGGGCTCCAACCTGGGCCAGCACGTGCAGGATGTGCAGGACACAGTCCGGGTGGCCGGAGTGCCCTGCGCGGTGGATGCTCAGGAGTACGAGGTCTCCAGCAGGTGAGCTGCTGGGCCCCCAGGAGCGGATGCCTCCTGTGGACTCTGCGGTTGGCCTTCCTGCTCAGGGCCACCCACCCACGCCTCATCCGCCCTCCCTGTCCTTTCCTTGGTGCCAGTCACGAGGCCCCAGTGCCACAGTTGCCATTGGGCACAGACCTGCAGCTCCCTGGCCTGGGCTGTGGTGGGAAAGGGGGTTGCTCCTGGGCCTGGGGCTCAGCCCCTTCCCAAAGCTGACAAGTGGCTCTTCTTCCCGGATCCGCCTACTTGTTCCCACCCGGGTTTTGGAGTGACCACGGATGTAATTGCGGTAGCAGAGTCTTTGGCTCCCAGCCAGCCGTGCTCAGGGGCTGGCCTTCTCACCAGCGGACCCTTCCTCCCCTAGCACTGTTCTGGGGCCTTCCCAGGCTTGAGGCTTGCAGGGGTTCTGGCTCTTGGTAACCTGGCTGGTGGTTGCAAGGTCCCAGAAGTGCATGCGTGGGACTTCCCCAAGGACACGGCCACAGTTGCCATGTCCCAAACCCAGCCGAATGGCAGAGCCTGTCCCAAACCACCACAGAGCAGATACGCAGCCTCGGCTGTGGAGACCTGGGTCTGTGGGCCTGTGCTGGGGCCAGGAGGCCCGTGGTTTGAACAGGATTTTGCCAGAGCATGTAGTTTTCCTCCTATGTGTGTTATGACTAAAACCTTCAGGTGACTTTCTAGACTGTTAATGATTCTAGAACCACGAGACTAAAGTGATTTATAAAGTGATTAAAATGTGTTCTGGCTGAAGCCCCTGCTGGGAAGTTGCACACGCCACTGACTCTGCTTTCTCGGTGACCGTGACACTGTCACGGGGCTAAGCCACCTCAGGGTCCACGTTGTGGACGTTGATTTGCCCCGAGTTTCTGTTTTCTGGCTGAGAGCCAGCACTTTCTTAGATGGCTGACTCCCCGTCCATGCCTCTCCCCAGACCTGACTAGAGGCTTCTGGGGACTTTTCTCCCCAAGGAAGTCAAGTTTCCACTGCTTTGTGAGGAGTGCTGCGTGCATGTGAGGGCGACCAGTTGGGCCCCCTCATTAGTTCAGCGGCCGGCCTCCCGGGGGCTCCTTTGGAAACTTGTGCCACTCCCAGGACGACCTCCTCGCTAGGGGGCTCAGGTTCGACTTGGATAATTGAGACCACGAGTTCCGACTCTCGGGTGTGGGAGCCTCCTGTGGGCCATACGGGGTCCCTCATCCAGATCGAGAGGATGTGCCGGTCTTGTGGCGGGGGTGGGGGGCAGCCCGGTCCATCGGGGGCCCGTGGCTCAGCCCGGCCCCCGGCGTGTCTTGTGCCTGCAGTCTTGTGTGCGTCACCGAGGCCAGCGGGAAGGAGGTGGCGGGTGCTGTGACCGTGGAGGTGCCAGGAAGAGGACGTGGCATCTCAGAGCTCAACTTCGCCTACCAGGTGCCTGACTGCTGGGCACCCCCAGCTGCCGATGGGCCACCCCCTCTGGTGGCTCCTCCCAGCCCACCTGGTTCCACCTTCCTGGGCTCCTGCCCTGCCCAGGGCCTTTGTGTCTGCCTCAGGCTCCCCCAGCCTCTCCCTTTCTGGCCTGAAGCCTGTCTGTCTGCCCCTGTCCCCCTTCCCGCAGGACCCGAAGGTGCATTCCATCTTCCCGGTGCGAGGCCCCAGAGCCGGGGGCACCCGCCTCACCCTGCATGGCTCCAAGCTCCTGACTGGGCGGCTGGAGGACATCCGAGTGGTAGTCGGACACCAGCCTTGTCACCTGTAAGGGCTGCTTCCTCAATCTGCAAAAAGCTGTGGACTCCGGGGAGAGCGGGGGTGGGGAGGGCAGGATGCCGTGGAGGAGAGAGGGGGAGAGGGTCAGGTCTGCTCCACCAGGAAGTGGCCAGGCCCTCCCTGCACAGGGGCTGTCGTGGGAGTGTGGCCTGCCGGGTCCACCGTGGAGACGGCAGTCCTCACTGAGGGGCAGCGAGCCGAGGCCTGGGTGGGTCCCTGCCCTGGGGCCATCCTTCCCTCCATCCCGTGCCCCCGCTAGGCAGCCTGGCCTGCCTTCTCCTCCTGCCTCCCTTCCTAGACTTCCGGGGCAGCAGGCGGAGCAGCTGCAGTGTGAGACCGGCCCACACCCCACGCCGGCCGCACTCCCCGTGGCTGTGTGGTTTGGGGCCACCGAGCGGAAGCTTCAGCACAGCCAGTTCGAGTACACGTCAGACCCCAATGTCACCTCTGTCGGCCCCACCAAGAGCTTCTTCAGGTGCTGGGCCAAGGGCATGGCTGCGTGATGTGGGGTAGGGTGGTCTTTGCAGGCCCAGTACTGGGGCGAGGGGTTTGTAGGGCTCTATGTGGGGGCTGTGACCCCCACGCAGCTTCAGGCTGGGACTGGGCGGTGCGCTGGAGCCTGGCTCTCCGTGAGTGGCTCATGGGCTGTGTTGCAGTGGGGGACGCGAGATTCGGGTCCGTGGCCAGAATTTGGACGTGGTGCAGACACCAAGGATCCGAGTGACTGTGGCACCAAGAGCACTGCGGCCGGGCCAGGGGCCTGGGCAGAGGCACCACATGATCCCGGCGACCGCATGCTCCCCCGGAGCCTCCTGCACCGGTCATCATGTAGGACACCCGGGGCATCCCCTGCCTGTGCTGGGCTAGCCAAGGTCCCCCTCACCCACACCCCGCCCCGGGGACAGCCGTGGGTGGCAGGTACCATGCCCGTGGGCCCCCTTCCTGCAGACCCCTCCATGACCCTCCCCCATCCCTCCCCCCACCCAGTTCGAGGAGCTCTGCCACGTGAATTCCTCCCAGCTCATCACCTGCTGCACACCTGCCCTCCCGGGCCTGCCTGAGGAAGCCCGGGTCCAAGTGGAGTTTATCCTCGACAGCCTGGTCTTTGACTTTGCCACGCTGAACCCTACACCCTTCTCCTATGAGGCTGACCCCACTCTGCAGCCCCTCAACCCCGAGGACCCCACCACGCCATTCCGGCACAAGCCTGGGAGTGTGCTGTCCGTGGAGGTACTGCTGCTTCTTGGGCAGGGCAGTGCCCGGGAGCCTGCACTTGGCTGGATGGTATTGCTGTGTATGGAGCGGGGCGGGGCATAACCTCAGAGCCAGAGCCGGTGGATACACCTGGCACCTCACCCCTCCTGTGGCGAGGGCTGGGGGCGCTGCTGGTGGGGTGCCTGGCCCAATGCTCCCGGCAGGGCCCGGCTCTGGTGGCCTGGGTCCTGATGAACTCCATAGCAGGTGGCCAAATGGCAATATGTAAATGGCTTGGCACACACAGAAGGCGGGTGGCGTGGCACCCAGCAGGTGCCTGGGCTGATGCCTATCGGAGAGCCTGACTTGGCACATGTTCTGACATTCCGTAGGCGGGTGACTGAAAGGCCACAGGTAGGCCACCAGTCGCCAACGACCCCGTGAGGCCAGTAGACGTGTTAGGGGCTCCAGCTTGGCTAGGCAACTGGGCAGAATGTGGGACAGCGTTGTAGCCTTCAGAAGTTCTGGGGAAGTTAGGACCTGAGAAGAAAAGACAGGGAAGGGTGGAGAAAGGTCGGGGCAGGGGTTGGCAGCCTGGAAGACATCTGGGGCCTCGTCCCACCTACAGGGAGGGGACCGGGTGCTGGGGACCAGGCGCTGAGGCCCTGTCAGCCCTGCTGTTGGGAATGGGTCTCAGGACCAGCCCTCCCACATTTGGGGGGAGAAGATCCGAGAGACCACTAGCTCCTCCACTCAGGGAAGAATTCTGAGTGATCAATCTGTGACCTCGTGTTCCAGGGGGAGAATCTGGACCTTGCAATGTCCAAGGAGGAGGTTGTGGCCATGATAGGGACCGGTCCCTGTGTGGTGAAGACACTGACCCGGCACCACCTGTACTGCGAGCCCCCAACGGAGCAGCCCCTGCCCCTCCGGGATGCACCTGAGGCGCTGCCTGAGTTCACGGTCAGTGGGCAGGTTCTGGGTTGGGCCAGGCATTTGGCATGCGCAGAAGCCTTGCTCAGGGTGGCTTCCCAATGCAGGTGCAGATGGGGAACCTGCGCTTTTCCCTGGGTCATGTGCAATACGATGGCGAGAGCCCCGTGGCTTTCCCCCTGGCAGCCCAGGCCGGCTTGGGGGTGGGCGTCTCTCTTCTGGCTGTGGGAGTGGTCATCATCGTCTTCATATACAGGTGGGTGCCTCCGGATAAGGCTGGGTTGGGAGGGACAGGCTAGGCCAGGGGTCAGCACACTTCCTGTAAAGGTCCAGAGAGCAAATACTGTAGGCTTTTGCATGCCAGGCAGTCCCTGTTGCAATTGCTCAGCTCTTCCATTGGAGCGTAAAGGCAGCCATAAACAGTAGGCGGCCGTAAACAATACACAGACACATCAGCATGGCTGTGTGCCAGTAAATTTCTGCTTTACAAAAACGGGTCCCCGGTGTCCTTGGCCTGGTTATAGTTTGCTGATCCCTGGGCTCAGCTGTGCTGGGCTACCCAGGACATGGGTGGCTGTGACTTGCCAGGGATGGAACAGGCTTGAATTATCCTGGACTAGACCTTAGCCTGGCTGGGCATGGCCAGGTTAGACTGCTGGCCTAGGCAGGCCTGGGCCGGGGGTGCCAGCAGAAGCTCTGGCCGCCGGCAGTCTTTCCCGTCCTGACCTTGGTGCTGAGCAGGAGGAAGAGCAAGCAGGCCCTGCGGGACTACAAGAAGGTCCAGATCCAGCTGGAGAACCTGGAGAGCAGTGTGCGGGACCGCTGCAAGAAGGAGTTCACGGGTGAGGCTGCGGCCGGGGCCCCGGGCTCCCACGCCTGTTCCCATGGCATGTGCTGGGCACCCACACCTGCCCTCTTCCACTCAACAGATCTCATGACCGAGATGACGGATCTCACCAGTGACCTTCTGGGCAGCGGCATCCCCTTCCTTGACTATAAGGTGTATGCCGAGAGGGTCTTCTTCCCCGGGCACCAGGAGTCACCCTTGCACCGGGACTTGGGTGTGCCCGAGAGCAGGCGGCCGACTGTGGAACAAGGCCTGGGGCAGCTCTCCAATCTGCTCAACAGCAAGCTCTTCCTCACCAAGGTGCCACCCTGCCCTGGCCCCGCCCACGACGGACCATCCTGGCCCCACCCACCTGGCCCCGCCCCTTCTCCATCCCTGGGTTCTGAATCAGCCCCTCCCTCCCACCCATCCCCTCTCCCTGATACCAGTTCATCCACACCCTGGAGAGCCAGCGCACCTTCTCGGCTCGGGACCGCGCCTACGTGGCCTCTCTGCTCACCGTGGCACTGCACGGGAAGCTCGAGTACTTCACAGACATCCTCCGCACCCTGCTCAGTGACCTGGTGGCCCAGTATGTGGCCAAGAACCCCAAGCTGATGCTGCGCAGGTCTGTGCCAGTGTCGGAAGCAGTTGGGGCCTGGTGGCTTTGGGCACCTGGGGCCGAGAGCTGAGTCAGGGCCTCCGGGGCCTGGGCGTCTGAGGAACAGAGTGCACTGCGGCCCCACCTGCTGACCCTGCCTCCCTGCTGCCCCTTCCTGTCGTCCCAGGACAGAGACTGTGGTGGAGAAGCTGCTCTCCAACTGGATGTCCATCTGCCTCTACACTTTCGTCAGGGTGAGGGAGGCGGAGGTGGATGGGGCTCCCCCTGCAGAAGGGGACATTCTCCAAACCAGGCAGCCCCGACCCCACGCAGTGTGCGCACGCCCGCCCACCATGTCCTCAGTCACCTTAGCCCTCTGTAGCCTGTAGCCTGTCCCCTGCCCCAGAGTGGCTCATGTCCCATACACCTCTGCCCCACACCTGTCACTCCCCCAGGACGCGGTAGGGGAGCCTCTGTACATGCTCTTCCGTGGAATTAAGCATCAAGTTGATAAGGGGCCAGTCGACAGCGTGACTGGTAAAGCCAAATACACCCTGAATGACAACCGCCTTCTCAGAGAGGACGTGGAGTACCGTCCCCTGGTGAGGGAGTGTGTGCATGCCTGGAGTGTCAGCCTCGGGGGGTGGGGGTGAGCACGAGTGGTCGTGTGTGGCTGCCTGTGTCTGGGGGAGAGCCCGCTGGACCTCTGGGAGAGACGCTTAGACCAGCTGAGCAGGATAGAAGCTTAAGGGTTGGACCTTGAGGATAGGGCCTCAAGAGGGTCCCAGGCTTGGGGTGCAGTCAAAGGGCCACAGCCAGAGTTTGGGGAGCAGCTGCCCTGCCTGGGGCCAGTTTACATCCTTGCTGTACCAGGCCTGAGTGTTTGCCTGGCCATGGTCTCATTGTCCTGCCAGGAATGTCAAGTGCCCAGCAGGCTGGGTTTGCTCTCCCTTCAGTGGCCCACTCAGAGCTCCTTCGGGAAAATCCCATCCGGGCTTTGCCACACCTGGCCATCCGTTAGGCTGGGGGTGGTGTCCCTCAGGTGTCGCAGCCTGACCAGCTGAGCCAGGAGGTGGGGGACCCAACTTGTGCTTACTCACTTTTTCTGCCACTCACCCAACAGATAGTCACTAGGACACTGTGCCAGGTGCTGGGGCCACAGAGTACAGAGCCACTGGTGGCTTTTTCACGGGTGATCCCTATCCATGGCCTTGCGTTTCGGTCATCCCACGTGGGAGCTGGGGCCTGACTGCTCCTGTGTGCCCTGTGCAGACCTTGAATGCACTGTTGGCTGTGGGGCCGGCGGCGGGAGAGGCCCAGGGGGTGCCTGTGAAGGTCCTGGACTGCGACACCATCTCCCAGGCCAAGGAGAAGATGCTGGACCAGCTTTATAAAGGGATGCCTCTCACCCAGCGGCCGGACCCCCGCACCTTGGATGTCGGTGAGGGCGGAAGGGAAGGGTGGCCGGGGTGCACGAGCCAGTCAGGCTGGGCCCACCCTGCACTACAGGGTGGGGTGCTGAGTTGGGGCACAGCCGGGCGGCGTAGGAACGACCCACAGCCAGCGGTGGGCACCTGTTCCTGGTCTGTGGAGAGGTTGGGCAGGGCTGCCCATGAAGGACAAAATAGGTTCCGCCTCGGAAAAGGTGTCCTGGGAGCCCAGGACCAAGTCCCCCTTGCCCTTGCAGAGTGGCGGTCTGGGGTGGCCGGACACCTCATTCTTTCTGATGAGGATGTGACTTCTGAGGTCCAGGGTCTGTGGCGGCGGCTGAACACCCTGCAGCATTACAAGGTGGGGGGGCTGGGAGCTAGAGGGGGGTGTGGTGGGGGTGTGGCTGGCAGAGGGGTCACCAGCTGTTGTCAGCAGGTCCCAGATGGAGCTACTGTGGCCCTGGTCCCCTGCCTCACCAAGCACGTTCTTCGGGAAAACCAGGATTATGTCCCCGGAGAAAGTGAGTACCCCCACACCCCCAGTGCGGCCCTCTGCCTTTGCTTTTGCCCACTAATGAAGCAGGAACTCTGGACCTCGGGGTGGGCTTGTGTCTACTTCCCTCCTCCCCAGAGAATGCCTCCCTGGGCGCCCCACTCCTAGGAGTTGGCAGGAGCCTGGGGCTCAGAGGAGGGGACACCTGATGAGGTGTGACAAGCAGTGTGGTCTTGGCACAGGGACCCCAATGCTGGAGGATGTGGATGAGGGGGGCATCCGGCCCTGGCACCTGGTGAAGCCGAGCGAGGAGCCGGAGCCGCCCCGGCCGAGGAGGGGCAGCCTTCGGGGTGGGGAGCGCGAGCGAGCCAAGGCCATCCCGGAGATCTACCTGACCCGCCTGCTGTCCATGAAGGTGGGGGCGGGGCATGGGGGTGGCGTGGGGCTCCCACGGACCTACTACCCCGAGTCTGAGGCCGGGGCCTGAAGCCCCTCGCTGACCACACCTCCATGCCCCCCGTCCCCTGCAGGGCACCCTGCAGAAGTTTGTGGACGACCTGTTCCAGGTGATCCTCAGCACCAGCCGCCCCGTGCCGCTCGCCATCAAGTACTTCTTTGACCTGCTGGACGAGCAGGCCCAGCAGCACGGCATCTCCGACCAGGACACCGTCCACATCTGGAAGACCAACAGGTGGGGCCCACCGGGCCGGGGGTGCGGGGCCTCCCCTCCGGCCCCTGCCGCGTGCTCACCGGCCACGCCTGCCCTGCCCGCAGCCTGCCGCTGAGGTTCTGGGTCAATATAATCAAAAACCCGCAGTTTGTGTTCGACGTGCAGACGTCCGATAACATGGACGCAGTGCTCCTGGTCATCGCACAGACCTTCATGGATGCCTGCACCCTGGCTGACCACAAGCTGGGCCGGGTGAGTGGGTGGGGGACTCGGAGGCCGTGCGTGGGGCGGGCAGCATGGGCCAGGGACATGCACACAGGCCACGGGGCCAGGCTTTCCTGAGAATGTTGAGGAGGAGGGCGAGGGGAGTCATTGCGGCCAGGCCCCAGGCCAGGCTCTGTGTCCCTTGGCCTCTGGGAGGTGGCGGTGTGGCCATCTTCCAGGTCGGGCACGCAGGGGCTGCCATGTGCTGATTCACAGGGTTAAGGCACAGGAGCAAGTGTGGCCTTCGGGGGTGGCAGGAGGCCAGGGCCACAAGCGAGGGCTTTCCCGGAGGGGTGACAGGGCCTCTGAAGGCCCAGGAATGGGGTGGGGCTGGGTGGGTGTCAGACCTGAGAGTAAGGCGCAGCCTTCTTGCAATTTGAGAGACTTGCTTCAGATCCCCACTCAGCCACTCAGGAGTGAGTTGGCCTGGGCAGCGGACCTCACTTCCTGGGTCAGTTTTCCAATTTTTAAAGTGATCACTCGGGGAATGGACAGCGTGTGAAGAGCAACAGAGTGCACACGGCACTGCCCCTTCCTGCCCCACGTGCCGGTTCCCTGCTGGGTCCTGAGCTGATGCATGGCCTGGGCGTCGTCTGGGGAGAAGCTCAAGGGAACAGAAGCAGCGCCCTGCCTTGGTGGGAGGGGGAAGTCCTTGCAAAAGGAGGTGGGCTAGGGTGACCAGCCATCCCGGTTGCCAGGTCTGAGGGGCATTCCTGGGACTGGAGACTTTTCACACTAGAGCAGTGCCGTGCAGGCTGGGACGGTTCTTCACACTCACAGGGGTTTCGTGTTCCTTCCCTCCCCCCACTTGCTTCTGGCGCCCAGGACTCCCCCATCAACAAACTTCTATATGCTCGGGATATCCCCCGTTACAAACGGATGGTGGAAAGGTACAGGGCAGGGGAAGGGCCTGAGGGGTGGGATGGGTGGATTGGGGGTGTTACAGTGGAGGCCCCAGCAGGGCAGGGTGGGCTCGTTTCCCAGCAGCTGCTGTCTCTACGATCTCTGGCAGGTACTACGCAGACATCAGACAGACCATCCCGGCCAGCGACCAAGAGATGAACTCCATCCTGGCCGAGCTGTCCCGGGTACGGCCCACCTTCTGCTTCTCGTATTAAGCACAAGCCTCCCGCCACAGGGGTCCTGCCCTTCCCGCTGCTCCTTTGCAGAGATGTCCCTCTGCAGAGATGTCCCTAAAGTGTCGATTGCCACTTTATAAGAGCAGGGCTCCCAGAATCGCATCAGAAAGCTACAGGAGTCTTGTCCTGCCAGCTGCCTCCTGCCCTGACTCAGCCAGGTGCCCGAGTCTGTGGATGACGCCCCAAGGCAGCAGGGTTGCTGAGGTTCGGCCCGGTTGGCCTGCCGATGTCTTCTAGCGCTCTGATTCCCGGGGTACTGAGGGCGCACCCCACCTGCTCCTGATGCAGCCCCGCACTCTGCCTGGGGTTTGTAAACGGTGTTTCTGAGGCCGCAACAGTCCCAGCTGCCACAGTAATAGCAGCTGTGATTTTGGGGTGTTTCTGTGCGTCTTTGGGGTGCTCTGTGTATCCTCTCATTTTGTCCCCATGAGCGCCCCGCACAGGCTGGGTGACTTGATCGCCCCTCCGCTGTCTGAGGCACACCTGTGGAGCCCCTGAGGGGGACCTCAGGCAGGGCTGGGGCCAGAGCAGACCAGCGTCTTTTCTGCTCGGCTCTGCAGTCACCTGGGAGGACCCAGGTCTCAGCTGGAGCCCTGGGGGGGGCGGGGGGCAGGGCCCTGGTGGAGCCCAGACCCTGTGGAAACGGCAGATGTGGGGTCTCGCCACCCAGGAGGCCCTTTGACCCACCCTGTGCCCCACTGAGCACACCTGAGCTGGGACCCTGGTCTGTAGAGGGGCTCTGCCACCTGCCGCAGGGCCTGTCCCGTCCTCCGCCCCCCCCAGGGTTTCGGGCTTCCCTGGGTGGCTGGCAGCACCCTCACGCCTGTCTCCTCTCTGTGCTCCTTAGAACTACTCTGGAGACCTAGGGGCGCGAGTGGCCCTGCACGAACTCTACAAGTACATCAACAAATACTACGACCAGGTGAGTGGCACCCTGGGCCCTGACTGGGGGCTGAGGAGATGGATGTGGATGGGGGTGTCTGGCCCTGGGATTCTCATGGGGGGCCCTCTGATCACCCCCCAGGCACAGACTAGGGGAGCAGCTGGGTCCTAGGTTTGGGAAGTGCTCTTCCTGGTGTTGGGAAGACATGCTTCCTGGTGTTGGCTGTGCCCTTACCTGTCCCCACCCCATGTCCGAGCTCCTCAGCAGGGATCCCAGGTGTCGTGGTGGTGGTGGTGGTGGTGACGGTTGTGGCGGGCAGCGGCCGGGGGTCTACCAGGGCCTGGAGATGGTATGTGGGATGTGCTAGGAGGGGCACACAGCTTCCACATCTGCCCTGACCTTGTCCAGATCCTTATCTGAGTCCATGGGTGGCACTGTGCTGCGCACGGTCACCCTTGCGGGCGTGGGCCTGACTGGGCTGCATAGGCCACCAGGGAGGAGGGGCTAGGCACAGGGTAGAGCGAGGTCACGATGGCCTCGTCTTTCTCGGGGCTCCTGGCTGGGCCTCAAGATCAGAGCGCCCACCAGCCAGCCTGCTGGCTGTGTGCCGGAAGTGTCCACCTAGGTGTTTGTGTGGTTCCAGGGATGCGAAGTCCAGGTACTCTTTCCGAACTGCGGTGGCCCTGGCGGTGGGGAGGCCGGGGACACTGTGGGCGGGCCCCTCAGTTCCTGCTGCTCCCTCTGTGGCTGCCCCCCTTAAGGTGTCGCGTGGGTCGGTATCTGTCTCCCCACCCACGAGGGCAGGGTCATATCTGTCATTGTTGGGTCTCTGCCCCTTGCCCGGTACCGAGCGGGTAGGCATTCAGGAAGTGCTCGTTACCTGGTGGGGGCGCCGTAGCAGGGCTCTCGTGTGTTCGTGGGGAGAAGGCCAGCCTGGCGGTGGGGCTGGCCTCCACTGAGAGCGATTCACTCCAGGAGGTGGCTGTTCGCAGCCCCACTAACCCTTAAAACACGACTTTGTGGATGGACTTCCCTCCCACTGACGAGGCCCCGAGGTCACACAGGTGGTAGTGGGGGTCCCCAAACTGAGCCCCAGTGCCTGAGGAGGCTGCTGAATCAGCTGCCAAGTGCCCGAGTGGGCCGGATGGGACAGGCCCTCTGACGGAGTCGTCTCCGCACTCCGTTCAGATCATCACTGCTCTGGAGGAGGACGGCACCGCCCAGAAGATGCAGCTGGGCTACCGGCTGCAGCAGATCGCCGCAGCCGTGGAGAACAAGGTCACCGACCTGTAGGGCCCAGCCAGCCCTGCTGCTGCGCAGCCCGCCCGGCGGCCCTGGAACCTCGAGGGAGAAACCACCTTCTTAGATGCCTGTAGTGCCTGAGGAGCCGGGTCAGTGGAAGGTGGCCTGGGTCTCCTGGTGGCGCTGGCCTGGGCCCCGAGGCCGATGGGGTGCTGGCCCGGCCCGCCTGCTCCCTGAGCCCAGCAACCCTGTGGGCTGTGTGACGTCAGTCAGCGGGGAGTTGGGTATGAAGCCCCCCCAACCCCTGGGGAGACTGGACTTCCCAAACACTGCTCTTAACTCCACTGGGGTTCAGAGAGGAAGGAGGGGGCGTGGGCTGTCTGCCCTCCTGCCCCCCACCCGCCATCCGTTCTGATCCCGGCATAACTGCCTCCAGCCTTTGCTGCTGCCACGGTCCCAGGTCCGAGAGATGAACACCTTTCCTAGGCCACTGCGAACTGACCCCTCAGAAGGGTTGACCGCCTTAGGGCCACCCTGCCTCCAAGGCAGCCAGTGGTGAGGGGCACCTGTTTTGGGGGGGCGTTGGGGAGAACAGTGGCCACACTGACCCAGCTCTTCATTAAAGGATAACACACTGCATGGCGTCCAATGCGTGGGCTGGGCCCAGGCCCTCCCTCAGCAGGAATGTGCACAAGGGGTGCTGGGGTCTGCACCCTGGGGGCGGGCGCAGGGCAGCTGGGCTCAGGTCCCATGAAGGGAAGAACAGCCCCGTCCAGGCCGGGCTGGGGGCGGTCTGCAGCCCAGGTGGAGGGGCTGCCTCGCCTGCAGTTTGAGTGTTCTGACTCCTGCATCCGTGCTCCGTGTGGGAAGGAGCGGGGCAGGATAGCATCATGGTGCGCATCCCAGGCAGAGCGGACCACGGGGCCCTTTCCCACGGTCCTGTGTCTGGACTCCCCAACCCCCTGTAGCCTGGGGTGTCTTAAGGAGCTCGCGGATATGGGTTGTCTTCTAAATCAAGGCACCTTGGGTGGGGGCTCCTAACCAGCTGCCTGCCTATATGAAGGCCACCCTGTGTGGTTTTCCTGTTTGTAGATGGAGGTGAACTTTGAGGCTGTTTCACTGGGTCTTGTGCTGGCTGGGTCTGTGGGACCAGGGGTGGGTTCCCCCTTGACTGAGACCACCCTTGGCTCTGCTTACTCCCACTGCCCAGACCCCAGAATGCCTGCTTTAGCTGGCGGGTGACACATCCTGGATCTCCCTTTAGAAGTGTCCCCTCTTATCCAACTCCAAACGTTGACCAGAAATTTAAGACCAGGATATTGTGGTGTTTGAAAGGAATTTATTTCTTGATTGTGATTTTGGGTTTTATTTATAAGCCTTTGGATTACTTGGCTGCTAAGTGCTTTTGAAACAGTAGGATCAGTGGTCTGTCCCAGCGGCCAATGAGCCACAGGTGAGTTGGTGAGTTGGGTGGCAGCATACTGCCATCTCCTGGCCACATCGAGGAATTTATCAAAATTGAAACAAGGGCCAGTGGAAATGAAGCTAGGGCTCAGCGGGTAAGGAATCTCACCTCGTCTCTAACTGAACCCTGATTTTAGAGGTGAGATGTGTCTCAGAGGAAAGTTGAGGGATTGTGACGGTGAGCGACTAGTCAGGAGAACAAACCACTGCGGGTGTTTCAAACAGGAGGTTGATTATAAAAGCATTGGAGGGGCTGGAAGGACAAAAGGGGGTAAAGTAACCCAGAGACTAGTGACCACAAAAGTCTCAAGCTGGCAAGGGCACAGTCCTGTAACCCACGGCCTCTGGCCAGCACCTGTGGGAAGCTTGAGGGCGCCCCTACCAGGCACAGCGGGTGGGCGCTGCCAGGAGGGGAGGGTTCACAGCTCTTTCTGCGAAGCTTCACCACCCCTGACCTGTCGGCACCCGTCAGGAAACAGGTGGCACTCACCGGAGAGGCGGGCGCGGCAGAGAGTTTAAGGAAAGACGTGCTGACAGCTGCAGGCACCAGGGAAGCTCGCCAGCCTGGGCCTGAGGGTGTTGGGGGAATGATGACCCTGGCCTCCTGCTCCTCCTGCCTCCCTGTCTCCCGTGGCTCCCCCCGCTGAATAACAGCCTAGGTGAGAGCCAGAGGGCAGGGGTGCCTGGTGGGCGCAGGCTGTGAGGTCAGCTCCTGAGTGCAGGGCAGGTGGGGCCTGACGGGCATCCAGCACCAACGACCCTGGGAGGAGGCACATAGAGGTGCTGTCATTCAAGGCTACAGGGTTATTGCTGTAGCAGGACGTGGTTCCCGGCCTTTCCTCCCACGCCCCTCGTCCTGGGGCCTCTTGGGAGGTGTTGCACAGCCCTGAAGGACCTTGGGAATCTCAGCTCCTCGGGGTTGAGGGGGCCTGCTGGTCTCTCCAGGCCGGGTGGGATGCTGGGAGCGCCAAGGAAGACACAGCTGCCGGCTGTGGAACAGGTGTTCTGGATCTGCAGTTTTATCTCAGGAGAAGAATCCAGCCGGGGCGGGGCGCAGCCCAACAGTAAGTAGAGACTCGGAGGCCGCTCACCTGCGTTCCTCGCCCACTGAACTGTGTGCAGACATGCCAACCCCTTGCTCCTGGCCCAGCTTGCTGACCTGGAGTCGCAGCGGTGCAGCTGTTTTGGGTGTTTGTGTGTGTGTGTCTGTGTATATGTTTGATGTGTGTGCTGGGTGGGGGGAGGCTGGGGGCACGCAGGAGCTCCAACCTTGAGGAAAGATGCCCTAGTGGAAAGCCCTGAAGACTTGGCCTTGGCACTGACTACGTTGGGACAGTCTCTTTTCCGAGCCTTGGGTCCCTCTTCCATAAGATGTGCGTCCTTAAGCACCTTTCCAGAGAGGGCATCCTATGAAAACTGTCGGAGAAGGCAGGCCCCTGGAGACCAGGCCTACGAGGGCCTGCGGGGCCCGCCCTCCAGGGCTGGGGCCCAGGCCTGACCCCTGTGGATGGTGGGCTGGGTGGCCATCCAGGGCCTCGCTGGGAAAGGACAGGAAGAGAGGGTGCACCTAAGTAGGGCACAGCTTGCCCTGGCCTCTCCGCGGAGGAGCCACAGACAAAGCCAGCACTGCCAGGTCCCCTCTGGGCCTCGGTGCCCCACCGCAGGGCATAGGCAGGCCCTCTGTCACAGAGCCTTTCCACCGGGACTTAGGTGTGTGTGCGAGGGGACTGCATGTCGTCTGCCCATCCCTGGGCAGCCCCAGTCTCGTTACGCCTGGACTCTGCTGGCGAGCACCCCCGCCTCTAATTCTCGGGGTGGAGGGTGAGGGGGTGGCCAAGCCGCCTCTTGGCCACAGGTGTGTGTGTAGTGAAAGCAGAGAAAGTTCTCTCCGGAACATCCTCCATCATCATTCCTATCCTCTTGAGAAACCTCGGCACTTTGAGGTTGCATTTACTATCTTACCTACGTAAAAGTTCACATCGGCCCACCCTCTGCTAGAGACTCCTGTGCCTGCCTGTCATCAAGCATCTGACTCCACCCCTCAGACTCGTGGCCTGTCATCGTCAGAGTGGTCTGATGTCCTTAGACGTGATCAACCCGACAACAATTTCCTGCGGCGAAGGGGTCCTTATCGTCAGTGCCCTTTGACCCGATTTCTATTCAGCCATAATGACGAGTCCTCGAAGGGCAGGGGGGAAGCATTGGGTGGAAGTCATATGGAAGAGGCAGTAGCTGAGAATCTTTAAAGAATGATGGCATTAGGTATCAACTCACAGATTTATAGACAGTGGGAATCGAACCTGTGGCCCTTTAGTTTGGGGGACGACCACACCTGGAGGGGGTGAGGGAGGGGACTTGCGTGTCTAGGTGACATTGCCGCATCAGTGCGCCTGCACAAGGGTGTGAGTTCTGGGTCTAAGAGCTTTGAGCTTAGCAGCCTGGGGCTGATAACCTGAGATTGTCAGGTGAGGTTTTGCTGGGAGCAGGAAAGCAGGCAGACTCTAAATAGCTAAAAACCTGCTTGTTTGGATTATTTTAAATACTTATTTGATAAATATTTACAATTTTAACTTGAACGATACATTTAAATTTAAAAGGAAATTTAAATGTTAGTTTAAATATTTTTTAATTAAACAGTTACAAATAACGAGACGTGTAAAATTGTGCATCTGGCAGCAGCAGGCTTTGAGGTAACGGGTCTGCATGCCGGCACTGGAGAAGTAAATGACCAGGCGTTCAAAGCGCAGAAGCCATCCGTGGCCGGCCGGCCCCTGCCCCTGGGCGGTTTCACAGTCTACAGCGTATGTTGTTTTATAATGCCTGCGTTTGCACCCGCTGGTGAAGCACCTTTGGGGTCTAGACTCCTTTAAGGGCACAAACTAGGACCGCAGGCAGGGCCTATCTGCAGCCAGTCTGCCTGCGTAGACGGGGAGAGCCAGGAAAATGATCCAAGAGGAGAAGGTTCTGATCCATCTGGTGAGGTGCAGGGATACTATGGCGCCTTAGGCATGTGTCCTTGACTTGCTGTAGAACCTGGTGAGTGCTCTGTGTCCACGGCAGTATGGTGCATCCGCAAGTCCACAGACCCCCTCCTTTGGCAGCCGGTGCCTTGTAGGGCGAAGGTGACACTCCAGCAGATGTGCAGTCACAGTGGTGAGGGTAGGAACCTCCCAGGTAAGGAAGAGGCGGGGGCGTCCGACCTTATGGCGTCTCTGGGTAGCACCGGAAGAAGAGTTGTCTTGGGCCACACATGAAATACACAAACACGAACGAAAACTGATGAGCAAAAAGGTTTTAAGTACATTTACGATTTTGTCCGGGGCCGCATGCGCCCCGTGGGTCTAGGGCCATGGGTTTACCTCTATTGAGTGGAGGTAGCGCCGCAGGTCTGTGGGTCTCCGGGAACTCGCTGGTTCAGGTGCATTCCACCTGCCCCCGGCTCCTCCAGGAGCCCCTCTCCTGCAGCCACATGTGTGTGTGGGGGGTGCGCACGCCTCCCTCCCTCCTGTGGAACTTTTACTAGATAGAACATGTTAGTCAAGTCTGTAACTTTAAACCACTTGCTTGTGTTATTCTGATGCCACCCAGTACAGCAATGGCATCTGATAGAGGGGCTCTAACAAGGGGGGCAGCCTTGTTCAGTTCTCTACTTGGTAGCCAGCCCCCCCCCCCTCAGCAGGGGCTTTAAGCACAGGCCTTACCGGGAAATACCGGCTAAAGTAACACTAGATATATCATTTCTCCAATTCTTTTCATCCCAAGTAAAAATTTATCGTAGTCCCTTTAAGAAACCGTCCTGAAATCACACTTTTCATGTGACGTCTGTATCACCCTGGGCCCTCAACTGGGGGGAACTCCAGCTTCAATCAGAGTGAGATTAGGAATTCTCTGCGGATTGGGTCTCTGCCTTCAGTCCACACACCCCTGTGGCGGAGGGGGCAGCTACCCCCATCGTCCTTCCGCTGTGGGTAGACCTCCGGTTCACCCACACGGACTATTAGTCTCCTGAGGTCCTGGATCTTACAGACCGCTGACCTCGCCTCCACTCCAGAGGCCCTGTCTCCCACCAGGCAGTGTTTTTAACTTCTATGAATAAGGTAAACATCTGTCTTTTCTGGATTCTTCCCCCCCCCCCCACTTCCCAGTGTGAAGGTTTCTCTTCCAGCCACCTTCACCATGGATTTCAAAGTTTTGTTTTGCATGTGCAAATTTGAACAGTGCTTAGGTGCCCTGTGTAGAAAATTTTCTCTTCACATTTTAGCTACTTATTTCTGAAAAATGAAAGCCTAAGAGTAATTCCATTTCTATCTCTCTTGGACTTAAGTTATTCAGAAATCACAGGCCCTGTGGGATCCTCTTTATTCCTACGTCCTTGGACAAACTATATTCTTCGTGCTCATGTGCGAATGTTCCACAGGATTTACATATTTCTTCTCCTGTCTCATCTCCAGCCCTGCACCCCACTGCCTCGTCTTGGTCTATAACAGAGATAACAGAGTCCAACACTTCTGTTAGTTTGTAAATCTGAGGAGAGCTTCACTGGCTCTTAGTCACTGTGGCTACTTTGAAATCAACTTCTAAATGGTAATGAAAAGGATTTCCGAAAAGCATAGGCCTAAAAAATACATAGATCTTTTTTTCTCCTTTGCCAAAAACAACACAAAACACAAAGTAATTACCCTTACTGTTGCACTGATTATGTATTAAATGTCTGGGTTCTGTCCTGCAAGTTTCTGTGTGAACCGACACTCTGACTTGCCACCCATGTCCTAGTACCTATTCCTCCTCACTGATCTCGGCCACAGGCGCTTTCTTTGCTTGTGAACGAAATCAAATGTGTGACTGTCCCAGCAAGTTCCCAGGTGCCGTTCATAATGCATCTCCTGTCGCCTTCTCCACTCAACCTTGCCCTCCCTAGAACCTTCACTGGCCTTCCCTTCCTGTGCCCTCCTGGTCACGGCTTCAAGTTCATTTCTATGGAGAAGGGGCGATAGGCACTCAGGCAGCTTAGAAACCCACACTGCTCCTTGGAGAAGCCGCCCGTTCAGATTACATTTCCACCAGAGTACTGTCTACCCTCTCAGCTCATCATCCTTCTAACCCGCCCCTCCTCCACCCAAAGCCAGGGGACTGGACCCCTGTGTCTTAGGCTGGATTTGTTAGTGCTCTGGCCCAGAGCTCTGAATCCTGAACTAGAGACGCAAAGAAAGGGGGCTGGTTCTTTATCGTATCCATGACAACGGCTGCGGTGATAACACAGCCCTGCGGTGATAACAAATCCACACAGCCCTGTGCTTTTAGCCTTTCCCGTATTTTCTATTTCTCAGTCCTTTTCAGCATTTCCCCCTTCTATCTTCTGAGTCTCTTCTCAGAAGATCTTAACCTTTATATATTATATTAATCTGTGTTTTTTCTAATACATTTCTTTTGCTTTTGCTTAAGTTTTACAGATTACTTTTGGTTGCTTACAATCGATAACTCTGTCTGATATAGATGCCTTCACTTTTAAACTAGCCTCCAACTGAAGTCACACTTTCCCCCATAGGATACTCCCCTTGAATTGTTTGGAACTGTATATTTGTGTGGCCATTCGTATCTCACTGCCTAGTATTCCACACTCTCCCGATGACAGGGACAGCGGGTACGTTTGTCCACCCTCTACCTTTAATAGTGTATGGTCTGTAGTATCTGTTACACTCTCTGATCCACTACAGGTAAATTGCTGCTTTTCCCCCAACATCACTGACATAACCATTCCGGGTGTGCACTCAGGGTTCTCTTTACTGCAGCCATGCGAGGTTAATGGCATTAGGTTCCGTAGCACATGTTCAGAGAGTACATCACCAGAACGCTGGACTCGAGGTTCCTGGACACCACACACACTATGCTCGCTTCATCGCATATCGCTCTGGAGACATAGCTGCCGGCAGAAAACACAGCATCATTGGAGGGCAGGAGGGGAAGCAGTTAGACCCACGGGGGTGCCACTGACTGTGAACCTGGCCAAGGCATAAATACGTGTCCCAAGTCAACTGGTCCTGGGGTCACTTTCAGGCTTGGTTTTGAGTAACTGTAGAGACCTGGCGGAGTTACGCCGATGATCATTTGCAGGAGTAGCAATCCCTACAAATACGGTCAAGTTTTATAATGACTTGATTATGTTATTCATTAAGGTTCGTTGATATGGTCAGTTTTTAACGAAGGTGTAAAGGCAAGTCAGTGGAGAAAGAATAGGCTCTTTTCAACAAGAGCCTAGTATTGAATCATTGAATATCCACATGAAAAAGAAACAAATTGGGGGGGGGTTAGAAATATCCTGTGGTTTGATTGTGCTTCCGATACAGGACTCCATAGCTTTGTCAACACTCAGACTGTGTGTTGGGCAGCTGGGTTCTACCTGGCAAAGACAAGACTTCCCTGCTTTGAAAAAGTCGTCAGATGGATAAAAGACAAGGCTATGCATTAAAGGATGCCCTGTATGAGAGTGAAGTATTTTAAATTATTGAAGAGAAACAAGTATTTCTGATGTAGAGTAGGCTAAGATTTATTAGATATGACAGCAAGAAATATGAAAGCAAATTTGCTAAGCAAAATTATATATGTACATTTAATTAAAATAGTTTGCCTCTAAAACACTTGAAATAACTTCTTATCTGAATGAAGCAATTTTACTCATTCTTTTATTTTGTTTAATTAAAACAATTCTTTAGAACTGATTGGTTTGAGAGACAGATAGATTGATTGATTGTATGTGCCCTGACCAAGGATCAAACCCGAAACCTTGGTATATTGCGACGATGCTGTAACTTTGACTTAAAAAAATTTTTCAGCTGCACAATACTCCATCATGTGGAGTAATATAGACCATTTCTTACTTTGGAGCAGTTAGGTACAGGGTTTCCGGCACGTGGCCGTCACAGCTAATGCTGCAGCACGCTGCCCAGCACGCGGTCTGGACCGCGGGCGGCGCTCCGTGAGAGCACAGTGCTTTCAGTGGCATCGGCAGCTCCAAGGGTACATGCACACCTGTTTTGTTGGATATCGCCCCAAACGAACGTTATGAGGACAAGAAACAACCTGGAAGAACATACTTGTGTATAAAAGCCAAGACCTGTATGTGTGGCATGTTAAATACCAAACAAACAAACCGGTGCAGATGGTGAGCAGTCTAGAAGAAGAATAAGCAAACTAAAGATAAAGGCAGTTCATGAAAGAAGCAACTCAAATGACTCATGAACTCAAACAAGAAAACAGACAAAAGCCTCCCAAAGGCCGGCACGTCAGCGGTGCATCGTCCTACACTGCTCATGGGAGTGCGTGCTGAGCTCCTCTTGGAATCTATCGCAGGGGGTGCACACATCTTCTAAGAACAAGTAATTCTCCTTTGGGGCATAAGTTTGTTCGTACATATTCTCAAAGGATTTTTTAAAAATCCTATTACCCCTTTAGTATTTTGCCTCATGTAGAAATTTAAAATCTTTAGGAAAAGTTTAGGCCATGAAGCAGGGCTTACCAGCTTGGCGTCTGGTCACCTCTCCGGTGTTCCAGGACACAACAGCTCTTGAGGTACGGGTGGTGACCTTTGTCCTCCCACATGTACAGACACAGGTGGTTATCCATGGACGTGGTGAGGACATAGAGAGGACCCTTCAAAGGGAACCGGAGGTGAGTGGCCGGCCCGGAGTCCAGCTCGGAGCAGTGAGCATCGGGAGGCGAAGGGTGTACGTACCACCCACAGGTGGCAGATGCTCAGCTGATGGTCGTGGAAGCGTTGCAGTGGGAGGCCGGAGATGGTGAGGAGCAGCAGCTGCGGCCCGCTGTCCAAGACAATCACAGTCCCGTCACTGACTCCCATCCAGACAGGACTCTCCATGTGAACTGGCAAGGTGAAGCTCTCGACCTGGTGGGCTGTTTCCATGTGCACACACACACACACACGGGTGAACTTTGGGTCATTTAGTTAGAGCAACATCCTTACCCTGAATGAAGAAGCATACTCCCTACTTCCAGGGGACGTCTGTCCAGTGAGGAAAAGGAAGGGTAGGCCAGTGGCCGGAAAATGTGTGTCACTGACTGTGGTCATGGGTGTCACCACATGGGAAGAGAGGGCTGGGGACAATAAACAATAATAGCTCAGGTTTGGAGGGTTGACGGGAATCTCAAGTTTTGCCTTCCCTGACTGGGGTGGCTCAGTGGACTGGGCATTGTCCTGCACACCCTTAGATCACTGGTTTGAGTCCAGGTCAGAGCACATGCCTGGGTTGCAGGCCAGGTCCTTGGTGGAGGCAGCGAGTTGCTGTTTCTCTTGTGCAAATAAAAATAAACATTGGGTAGCTCCCTGCTAAGAAATCCCCTGCCCCTGTACACAGATTGACCTGTTTACGTACCTCTGGAGCTTCAAACGAGTGCAAGTTGGGGAGGGGGAAATGGGGCGTGGCCTACCTTGGATGACAGTGGTGTCCCCAGTCCTCTCGGTTGTTACATCGAAGGTGGCAAACCCTGTCTTTTTGGAAGGGACTCGTTGGAACATGAGTACTACCCTGTTTGCCCTCCTCAGGGCCCAGCAGGCCGCGCAGCACCCCAAGACCGGCAGAGACACAGACAGAAGGGCTGCGCGTGTACCCGGTCTCAGTAAACACTCCGCCAGAAACACCTGCGCAGAAAGGACCGCATGCGCAGTCAGCCGGAGGGGCGCTCACAGCAGCTCCTCCAAAATCTTCAACTCGTGGCGGAAGCTTTATTCTGAATCCCAGGGAGTGTTGAATGGCCACTGCTTGTCACCTGTTGTCCTCCCGTCCTGCCTGTCACGGTGCCCCGTCGAGGAGAGCCCCCAAAGCTTCTCTTCCGGCAGCCGTGGGGTTAGAAAAGCATCTGGCCGCATCGGATGCCGATCACGTGGCACATGGCCAAGGAGATGGGCCGCCTTGGAGAACGTGTCCAGGGCTGATCTGCTCTGGCCGCCGCCTCCCTGAGCCCGTTCCCGGGGCCCAGTGCCCAGGGGCCATGCCAAGAGGCCTGCTCACAATGTCACTCTCTCAGAACGACTTGCAGAGGCCAAAGCACTTTTATTTACATCTGGACTTTGTACTTTCCAGCCCGGGTTGGCAATGGTAGAGTAAGGGAAACCAAAGTCAACCAGGGGTTACCAAAGGTCCTAATTCTCGATATCTCTTTCACCCTCCCCATCTCTTGGGCCGAGTCTGGTTTCCCAAGCAAATTTTCATTAATAAATGTTTGTCTTTGCCCTGGGTTGCTGTTGCTTCAAAGACCATTGTTTCTTGGCTCTGGGAATGGATTCTGCGTGTTCTGTGGCCTGTGAGAGGAGGGAGCAGCCTGGCAGGTCCTCGCTGAGCTCTGCAGCTAGTTAACACTAGCACCTCCCGACTTCTCCCTCCTAACCCTGGTCCTCTCCTCCTGCGGTGCAAGCGCACAGGGCAGCACCTACCTGGGGCAAGACGCGCTGATGTATCGCACCAGCCAAGACCCATCTGGCGTCTGGAGAGCAGTGCAGAAGGTCGACACTGTGGTTGAACGCATTAACTATGGAAACCACCTCTAACCCGGGCACTGTCAGTGTGCAGATGTCGCCTTCAGAATCGCCTACCTGGAACCGAAGCGCCGCCGCCACGTCAGTGCAAAGGGACGGGGCAGCCTGCAGCACAAGGAGGCAGCAGGAGCAGGAGGGGCTGGCAAGGGAGACGCACACCTCTGACCAGCCCACCCTGCAAGGTTGCTGGGACCGTCCCAAGGAATCTTCTAAGCCCCCAAAGCATGCCCAGATAGTCACTCATTAGCCCAGCGACCCTGCACTGTTTTCTCAGTGTCTCCCCAAATCCGTGTCCCTCCCTCCGTGGCCCCATCCAAGTTCATGTACTCCACAATAATGCACACTTGAGAGGAGAAACATACTCGTGAAATAACGGAGGGAGACTGTGTTAGAAGAATAACCCGGGAAATGTACCTGAGGTATAACAAAGGCCAGGACCGTGTCAAGGTCTTTGTGTCCAGCGTTCACTGGTAGGTCGTGACTCCTGGAGTTGGCGGTAGAGATGCCTCAAGGAGACAGGTTGGGATGTGGCCAGAACAGCCTCACGGCTCACTCACCATCAGGAACGGGTCCTCCTTGGCCAGCAGGGCCTCCATGGAGAAACTGACACGCGGCCTGGTGAGCTCGGCCAGAGCGTCCTCGTGCTGACAGTCCCACACTTTGACCGTTTCCTCCGTGTCCACGGTGAACGCGAGGCACAGCTGCGGGAGCGTCGCCAGGAACTTGATGTTGGATTGCTGGACGGGGCTGGACCAGACGACGGTGCCCTGGGGAATGAGAGTAACTGTACGTGTGCCAGGCGCTCGCCCCACACGGCAAGGGCTCGCGTTCTGCCAGGGCTTATTTGCAAGCCTCTTCCAACTCAGATTTCCTTCTTTTTTTCTGGGGGTAGAATAAGAAAATTCTACTGAACACCTCAGGGATTTGAGGGGTGGCGAACATGAGGAAGGAAACATGCGACGTGGTCACAGGCAGGAACGCGGGTGGCGAGCGTTAAGGATCACGCTCCCCGGCTCGTTCAGTTCTGCCCCTTACCAGCAGTGTGACACTCAGCAAGTTACCTGCCACCGCGGCTTCTTACAGGGCTGTGCCATTATGTTTCATGACACGTGAAACGGACTTGGGGTTCTGCCTAGTAACAGAGGAGTTCAAGGGGCATCAGCTTTCATGACAGTTGTTTTTCCAGTGTCAGCCTTATGCACCACAAGCCAGACAGAAGAAAGCATTCCCCTTCGAGACCCTTCTTTAGTCTCATTGTGATTGTAAAATACATCAACGCAAAGAACACAGACATCATTGAGTTTAATAAGTTATTACACAGTGATCGATACAACTCCTTCTAAGCCCTCCTCTAGCCCCTTTGCACTTGTTTTATTTACTACGCCCTATTTATCTCCCCCAGACAGAATCGCTATTTTGATTCCTGACTCTAAACTGTGTCTTGTGTTATCTATTGCTGTGTAACAAAACATCCCTAAACTGGGGGGCTGCAAACAACAACCCACTTTCATCTCACAGTCTGTTCGTTAGAGATTCGGGTGCAGCTCGGCTGGTAGTTCTGGCTCTGGTCTCCCGTGAGGTCGAAGCCAAGTCCCACTTTCAAGATGACTCACTCCCTCCCTCGGCTGGCAAGCAGGTGCTGGCTGCGGGCAGGAGTCCTCAGCGCTTCCGGACCTGGACCTCTGTCTGGGCTCCTCACTGTGGTGCTCTCATAACATTTCAGGTGGCTTTCTAAGAGCCAATGACTCAAAAGAAGGACATATCTTTGATACGTCCTCAGAAGTTATACACCGTAATGTGCATGATATCCTACTGCTTGCAAAGGGGTCAGCCTCATTCCACGTGGGGGGTGGACTGCGTACAATTGTTGAGACTACGGGACGAGGAATATTAAGGGCCATCTCAGAGGGTGGCTAAGAAGGTCAGTCCTGTAGCTCCCAAAGATCATGTCCCTCCCACATGCAAAAGACAAGGCCCTCACCTCTCTCAGACCATTACAGCCTCGTCTCAGCATCTTGACAGGGGTGTCCAACCTTTTGGCGTCTCTGCGCCACACTGGAAAAAGAAGAGTTGTCTTGGGCCACACATTAAATACATTGCAATGTGTAATCACACACACAAAAAATCTCATAATGTTTTAAGTAAGTTTACGATGGTGTGTTGGGCCGCATCCGCAGCCAGCCGGAGCTGCATGTGGCCACGGGTTGGACACCCCTGGAAGGAACTCACTGTTGAATTAAGTTCAGATACAGAGGAGGCTCTTTCGATTCAGTTCATCTTGATGTGAAGAACTTAAAACTAAATATACAAGGTGCTCCCAACCTCCCCAAAATACAAGGGTAGAGCAGGATCGCGTTATAGACACTCTCGTCCCAGAAGGAGGGGATGGTACACGGGACCTGGGAGCAATGAGTAAGCGCTGCCACAGCGAAGACGGAATCCAGGGGAGAATGTGCGGTCGTTTGCTGATTAGGCTTCAAGACCTGGGGAGGATTCTTCACTACCGTTGGCTCCAGTTTCCGGGACCTTGGTTCTGTTTCTGAGACATCCTCCCCTTTCCGTGTATGGTGGCCCAATTTTGCAGCCAAGTAGTTTTTGCTGTCTGTTTCTTGTCTGCAAAAGCTTGGGATTCAAAAGTCTCTCTCTCTCTCTCTTTTTTTTTTTTTTTTTTGTCATACCTCAGCCCCTTTAAGCCCAAGCTGGCAGTGCTTCTGCCAATACAATTCTCTCCAACACTTTGTGGCTCTCCCGAGAACCTTATCGGCGTTTACTTCATTAGACAAGAGCTGTACCCCTAAGTCCTTGACGTAAATCCTTCGATACCTTGGGCTTCTGCTGGGGCTGCCCAGAACAATGCCTTAAACTTCTTAGAAGTCCTCAGGCCCTGGCAGCGTAGGTCAGTTGGTTAGAATGCCATCCCCATATGCCAAGGTTGCAGGTTCAATCCCCAGTCAGGGCACATACAAGAATCAACCAATGAATGTGTAAATAATTGGAACAATAGATCTCTCTCTCTCTCTTTCCCTCCTTCCCTCCCTTTTTCTCTCTCCCAAAACTCAATAAACACAAAATTTTTTAACCCCCCCCCCAAAAAAACCCTTAAAATTCTTATTACTTGTGTGAATAGTTCTCTGAGGCATTTCCTTAGATCTTTCTGTGGCCTAATGAAGAATTTTTGCTTCAACTTTATAATATCGTTCATGGATGTTGCCCAGGGTTGGTCCTGCTTAGAATCCATTTCTGAAATTTTAGCCTCATTTGTCATCTGCAAAGATTGAATTTTCAAAACCAACAGTCCTTGGTTTCCTGTTGTTTCACAGCCCTTACTTTAAAATTACTTTAAAAAATTTTTTAAATTTATCTTTGGAGGGGAAGGAGAGAAATATCGATATATGGTTACTTCCCCTGCTGGGAACTGGCCTACAACCCAGGCATGTGCCCTGACTGGGAGTTGAACCACAGTCCTTTGGTTCACAGGCCCACACTCAATCCACTGAGCTACACCAGCCAGGGATGCTAAGTGGCTTTTGCTAAGAGTCTCTTAAGGCCCAACACTCTCCTCCCAATCTCCCCAGCGTCTGCCCATCACCTGGTTCCAAAGTTTCTTCCACGTTCTAGGTTTTTGCTACGGCGGCGGCAGCTCCCTCCCACCTACGGCAGCATTTAGACGGTGCTGAGCGCTCCGTCTGTTATCTCTGGCTGTGTAACAAGTTAGGTGGCAGCAGGAAGCATGAACTCTTACCTCACACAGCTTCAGTTGGTCAAAAACTCAAGGGGGATTACCCATGTGGCTTTGGTTTAGGGTCTCTCATTAGGCTGTGGCGACATTGGCTGGGCGTGCCATAATTTTCGTCTGGTGTCTGAAGATTCACCTCCAGCATGGCTCACTCACGTGACTACAAGTGGTTCTGGCTGTCGGCTGCTCAAATGTCCTTGGGGACATGGTGACCGGTTTCCTCTAGGGCAAGTTATCCAAGAAAGTACCCTTCTAATTTCCTTTCCCCAGCTTTATTGAGATGTAGTTGACATATAACATTATGTAAGTTTAATGTAAGAGTAGCCTTCTAGAATTTTATCTCATCATTTTCCTGCCACCTCATGTATTCAGAAAGGGTATGTATCATAGATCAGGAGAGCCTGTGGTACAAAGAGTTGTTACCCAGTTTTTATGGGGAAGAGAGAGAAATTCACGCAGGGCCTATCAAGATAACATGGTAATTTGGGACACACTTGGAAACTCCCAGCTCCCTCTTCAGTGAGTCCTGCCCTGCTGGTCCCAGCATAGAAGACAAGCTTTGTGCCCCTTGGGGGTGACCTGAGTTAAAGACCGAGTCCTGAAGGAGGCAATAAAACAAATGCCAATTGTTGATAGACTAAAGTAGGTAATGAAAATGCACAAGGCCAAAAGATCATTTATTCACAAAGTCAGTCCACGTTACCAGCCAGCAGAAAATCAGTCCTCTCACAAGTTTATATAGAGAAACAGATATTCATAAGTGAATACTCTGTGTGTCTATAGTCTAAATGGAAAGGTCACAGGTTACCACTTAGAAGGGCTGATTTGAAACTTTTCTTCTGTTGTTAATTGAGCATGACTTCCCTCCCAGCATCTGCTTTACCTGTGGAACTGGAGGGACACAGCTGTGCATTACCTGTGCTCCTCATTGGCCAGACTCACCTCCTGCACATCCCAGGCAGAAAGCACGCGCCTTGAAGACACCGTGCAAAGGAGTGACCTCTCTTGTCCTTCCACCGGCTGGTAGCTTTCTGAGAGATAAGCCATGTGATTCCAGATTCCTAGAAGGCAACACAGACAATACTTGGCCACCAGATAGTTGAGGAATGATCCAATGGAATAAAGAGTTCTGGAAAGGTCATTTTAAGTTTTCTCGCAACGTTTATGGGGACAGGATGGAAACTGGGCTTCAGCGTCATTCAAACGTGGGTTTCACTGGCCGTTTGAAGGATGTCGGCCAGTCAGTTTCTCCCTCATCTCAGTTTCCACATAAAATGGGGATGAAAATAACAGGAACTTTGCTTTGTTATCAATTATGAGCATCCCTTTCTGTTCTGAATTGTAAAAGAGGTATCAGCAATAGAGTGTCAGGACTGTTAAATGTTTCCTTTTCTTAGAAGTTTTTCTTCTAGGAGGGGAACCTTGAGGGGAGGGAGCCACAGGCCAGATTTCATGGGGTGAGATGGTCGCTCTGGCTTCTCCATGCAGAATAGATCACAGGGCAAGGAAGGAAGCAGGGAGACCAGTCTTTTCCTTGTCGTTGATTTTAGAGGGAGAGGATGGAGAGGGGAAGGGTGAAGAAGAGGGAGAGAAAGACAGGAACAGTGATTTGTCATTGTTCCACTTATTCATGGATTCACTGAGTGAGTCTCCTATATGCCCTGATCGAGGATCGAACCCCCAACCTTGGAGTATCAAGACAGTGCTCTAATCAACTCAGCTACTCGGCCAGGGCCAGTCCTATTAAGTTTAATTCCCTTTCTCTTCACTGAATGAGAATACCCTCCGCCCCCCAAAAAAACAAACTATAGTGGATTTCCTAACAAGCCGATCACATTGCCCGTCCACACACCGAGGTTGCCAGCTCCCTCCTTGTAGACAAAGTCCTCCGGCTTTGCCGCCCCCATCCGGCGCTGGCGCCTCGTGTGGTGGAGGAAGAACTGCTTCCACGTCGGCAGGCGCAGGCACAAACTGCAGGAGGAGGGGAGGCTCCATGTCCTCAGACACAGGTTTCTGGAAAGGGTCGCAGTCCCGTCAGGCCGCTCACCTCCTGGGCACCACAGGTGCACCACGGGGACCCTCTGCCCACCTCCACCTTCACTCAGGCCTCTCCCAGCCCAGCCACGCACGGGCCTCCGCACAACCCCCAGGACCTCCGCTGCCCTGAGACCCCTGCCTCCCCCCAGCCTGCCTGTCCCTCACCCACCTCCACAGGTGATGGCTCTCTGCAACCTTGTTCCAGTGCTGAGGGGAGAGAGGAGGAGGAGCAGGCAGCTGGCACCCAAACATTGGCTCCTCCTTTGCTTTCATCTGTTGGGGGTTAACCTGCCCGTCTGGGGCAGTGGGACTGGGCACCTTGGAGGCCCAACCCTGCCAGCGCGGGGTGCTCCTGGGAGAGGTCACAGTGGATCCCCCAGGGTTTGACATGGGAGCTTCCACAACCATTTTCCAGCACGGCTCCTGTGTGTGTTTGTCATTTCCACCCAGCAAAATACAGTGAAGGATGCTAACCCCAAACGCTCGGGGGACCACTGCTATTGGGCAGGCCAGCGTTCAAACTGGTGGAGACTCGGCTGTCCCCCAGGGGTGTGGATGGGTGTGTCAGACCGCAACGGGCTGGCTGGGACACGGTAGGGTTAAGAGACCAAGGAAGGCTGTGTGGGGACGATGCTGGGGTAGCCGCGGTCCCAGGACTGAGGGACAGCGGCCCGGGGACAGCCTCGTGCCAGCGCTCGAGGCGGATGCGTGTGGGCGAGGCAGACGGAGTGGCTGGCGGGGAGGACATTCACCTTGTTCACCTGGGTGGCCTGCAGCAGGCTGAATGCATCCAGGAAGGAGAAGACCCTCAGCAGCGTTGTCTCCGGCAGTTGGAGCTCCATCCCACGGTGCCGGGCCCACACCCACTCCCCCCACCCCTCCGCAGGGTGCTCTGGATTTAAAGGGCTGGCCCGGGTCGGCTGCACTTGGGAGGATTCCCACCTACGGCCCATTTGCTCTGAGGGAAACAGGCTGCAGGTGCGCCGCCCCGCCGCCCGGCCTCCCTCCCGGAGCCAGGGTCCCACCACCGTGGTCGGCTGTTGTTTCAGTGCGGTTGACGCCACCCCTCTTAACACAGTGACCTGAAAGTGCAGGACCTTGGGCGGCTCTGGTTGCTGATGAACTTGTCGGGACTCTTGGGAATTTCAACGAACATGCCTTCATCAAATTCAAGTCTCTATGTGACATTAGGTTCCAAATCACCGGGGTAGGGAATCTGCTTCTCACACAGACGTGTGTCTGCTTTGGGGCGTGGAATCCGGCCAGCAGGGCCCGTCTCCCAGCCCCAGCCCCAGCCCCAGCCCACTCCCGTCTTTGCGCACTGAACCTTCCGGTCGGGCGCACACAGGAGGCTCCGTGGAGGCTCGTGCTCACAGCGCAGGCCTGGCCTGAGATGGTTCTGACGGTCGGTGCCTCCCCGAGACCCAGCACTTTCCTCCCAAGAACCAGGCAAGTGACCCGCAGCGTTTGGCGCAGCGGCCCCTCGGTGAGGCTGGGTGGCAGTAACCTTCCCTAAACCCTGCCCCCCGGCAGAGTTCTCAGAAGCACCAGTCATTCCTGGTGGCATCTACTCCATTGTCCAAACCCAGACTGGGCTCGTTGGGGACCTTGGATGTCCTCCATCTCAGAATTTAGAACAGAAGGCTCTTCGCAGTGACAGTTGTAGAAAACCCAAACCGGGCCACCGTGGGGAGGGCCCCACTTTTCATTCTGTTGAATGAGGTTCATAGAAAACTGTTTAGAAGGAAATGGGATTTAAAGGGAAAAAAATCCTGGTTTAAAGAGAGAGAATGGGAGTCTATGGTATCTTTCATATCAGTAATTCCAGTTCTTCCAATGTCTTTCAATTTACAAATTATGAAATTAAAATAAAAACTGTTTTTCAGTTCACCTGATTCAAGTGAATGAACAAGCTGTTGACTATTCACTACCTTTAATACCAACAGACAGTTTGTGTTAGAATTTATTAACTCCTGATATACACCCTGAACTTTTCTGCAGATATGGTCAGATGTGGATAAATGACACAAGGGACTGAAGCCTGGTGACGGCTCCTTTCCAGCCGAATGTCACAGCTGCTTCTCCGGCTGCCACGTGCTCTTACGCCCAGTAAGGCCCGAGCAATGGTTTCAAACTGGCTGGACCTTGGAATCTCTCTCTCCCTCTCTCTCCCTCTCTAACTAAACACTCCAGGGTTCTTCGCTCTGCCCGCCTGCAGCCCGTGGGCTGCTGTGTTCACACCACAAAGGTGAATTAAAGCAACACCGAGAGAGAGCAAGGCGTTCTCACTGTTCCCCCTTCTTCCCTGAGCTCCATGAGCATCTTTATGGCCTACATTTTGAGCTCTTTCTCAGGTAAATCACTCATCGCCATTCCATTTAGTCTTTCTCTGAGATGTTAGCCTGTCCTTTCCATCGGGACTTATTCCTCCGGGTCTTCATCTTTCTCTGTGTTGGAGTCTGGGTGGCAGATGACATGGCCACCTCGCCCAGGCTGCGGAAGCGGCCTCCCCAGGAGAGGAAGCTTGCCTTTCGCCAGCTCTCTGCCGTCCCCCAGACCTTTGGGACTGCCCGGCAGCCTTCCCTGGTCGTGGAGGGCGTCGCAGAGGCAAGGATCTCATGTAGCTCCTGGGTTCAGGAAGCCAAGGCCCCGGGCAGCACTTCAACTGATTCATTGGTGGCTGACACTACTACAGACGCCCCCCGCTTTAGAAGTCTGCCGGCCCACCTCTGTCCCGGGAAGACCAGGAGTGGGGGGTCCTGGCTGCTCCCTCTGAGCTGAGCCCTGGGGTGCAGCCAGGTGGAAGCTGTTCCTTTGCTACTGTCCCATTGGACTGTGAACTCCACTGGCCCCGGAGTCAGGCTGTCAGGGGGTGTGTCCTCCGAGGCGCCAGAAGCTGGGGCACCAGACCTGCAGGAAAGCTCCTTTCTAGAGACGCCAAAGGCCTGAGGCAGGGCACTTGGGGAGAGGCTGAGGTTGGCAGCTCCTGTTCCCGCCCCGAGAAGCAAAAGCAGAAGCAAGGCCCCTGCTCCCCACCCAACATTCACGCTTCTGCATCTCCTGTGACTCTTAACTGTGTGCCTCTGGCCACTTGCTCAGTTCTGTGACTCTTCACGTGTTCAGCAAATATGTAACCTGTGCCGACTCTGTAGCCCCTTTTCCAAGCCCTGAGCTCACCAGGGAAAGGACCGGGCTTCACTTTGCCTGATGGCAGGCTAACCCAGAAGTGTCCGCCACCGGTGAGGTCAGGGAGACTCTCCAAGGCCGGTACAGCCGTCCTGCTCCTGGTCCGTGCCCAGCCTGCCGAAGCTGCCTCTAATCAGTCCCGAGACGGACACAGTGTCTGGAACATTGTAGGTATTCACTCTGTTTGTTGAATAAATAAATACCTGTATGCAAGAGAAGAGATTGTAAAAATAAAGAAGAAGAGGACAAATTAGGAAATGCAGAGATAGAATTAGAGAGAGAGAGAGACCTAGAGTGTCAAGGAAAGAACATCTATCCTGTAGAACAGTCTTGAAAGAATTTGAGTCAAAAATTGGCAGATACAACTGGAAGCAAAATCTCAACAGGCGGAGGACATGCTCCGGAGGATGGCAGTTTTACGGCTTCTCTGACACATCAGAATGGAAGGAAGAGAAGTGAGGAGGGTGCGTGGACCCCAGTGATGGTGAACTGAGGGGGCGGGAGAACGTGACGCAGGGAAATCTCGGGGGTTAAACAAAGAGTAAAATGGAGAGACACAATCTTCTTTTGGCATTGGAAGTCGCAGGACCGTTCACTGACTTTTGCCACACGGACTGACAGCACCCAAGGAACGAGACAGAAGGGCACTTCCGCGGTCTCCTGCTCCGGCAGCGGTGGGGGTGCCTTTGAGGGGTCTGCACAAGAAAGCTACTCCGACCTTTCAAAGGCATGTTATCCTAGACGCCCAAAGACAACAGACAGGCTCACTTAAGGTGGAGGCTGCCCTTGGTCAGGGGAGCTACACACCCAGGTTGCGACCACTCAGCAAGGTCTGCTTATTGGGAATCGCTCTGTTCAGACGGCCCGTGTGGTGACTCCCAGTCTCGGGTTTGTAAGGCCTGCCCTGCGGGCCCCTCCTGAGCTGGTCAGCGTTAGTGCGTGTCCTTTCTTTCATTCACAAGAGAGAATATGAGACACAAAAGGAAAGGCCGAGAGAGGAGCTCGGAAGCAAAGTGATGCAGGAGCCTGGCCCGGCTCCTCTGCTCACTGCGCTCAGTTGTAGGAATCCGGGTGGAATGAGAGGAAGAATCTGTCCCACCCACGGGCACTTGGTCAGTCTGCGGTATCTTTGCCCCGTGAGCCCAGAGGGAAACCCACCCACCCGGAACCTGGGGAAAAGGTACCACACGTGTCCTCGCCTGGCTGGTGCCACGGACGGGACTCGGGGAGGCCCCCAGGAGGGGGACAGAGTAGAGTGAGCACTGCGTGTGTGGGCAGGGGCAGGCCACCTGCCTGTCCACCCGTGGGGCCACCTGTGAGCGTCAAGAAGGCCCAGCATTGGCCGGGAGCCCTGCCCCCGCACCGCGCTGCCCTGGGAAGGCCACACAAGTTGGGGGTCTCCTTCCCCTCAGCCGTGTGAGGAATCCAGGGTGGTTTCATGACAGAAGGGGCCTTGGCAGGGCCAGAGCCAGCAAACCCATGGGACGAGGGCCATGACCACCCTCCCTGCCTTTCCCAAATGCCGCCCCGGGGAACACGCTGGGTCCCCCCACTCTGCCTCGCCGACCCCCGTCCTTCTTCACCCGTGCTCTCCCTGGGCTTGGGAGGAAAGGCTCTCCCTTAGTGACCCTCGTTTTGCCGGATGGTCATGAGTCTCCTAAGGCCACACAGGGGCCGGCAGAGACAAGGCACAAGGGCAGTGATGGGAGCACCTAGAAACGAGGAAGGAGAGGAGTTCGGACGGGAGGTCTCGAAGCCGCCCTGCGTGGGGGAGTCCTGGGCAGCGAGAAACGCCATGCAGCCGGAGGGTTTGGGTGTCCCTGCCATGACCCTGGAGAGGCACAGAGCTGCGGTGGCCTGAGCAGGGGTTCTGGGAATGGGGAGTGGGGTCAGGGCCAAGAGCGGGCAACAGACCCACAGGTTCCGACGCTTTCATGCAGAGCTTTGGGGCCCAGAGAGGTGCAGAGAGAGGTTGGGCGGGTAGAAGACGAGATGACGAGACGAACCGTGGAGTTTAGAAGATGCCTGGGGGGCTGCGAAGGTGAACACTGTTGAGTGATTAAACAGCCACAGGTTTGGTGCCCTTGGGTGGTCACAGAGGGCAGGTGGCCCACGGACACTGAGGTCCTGCCCCGTCAGAGCCACTGTCCCAGGTGCAGTATGGGCACACGGAAGGGGGTGCTCAGGTGGCATCTACCACGCCCACTTCGGACCCAGTGCAGACCCAGGTGGTGAGGGAGAGACGGGGGCAGAGCCATGTGGTGTAAGAGGGGAGCTGGGGGCCGGGACTTTCAGACTGGGGGGGCCCGCGAGAGGCCTCTGCCGATCCCTCGGGTCCCTCTGCCTTGCTGGGTCTTCAGAGTCGGTGCTTTCCTCTTCAGCCCTGACAGACCGGGGTATTTTAGAGACTTTCCGTCAACTTCCAGTCCCCGACCAACACAGTCGGAGGAACTGGCAGATGCCACAGAGGCAGGCGAAGCCAGACCGTGTGCTGAGGCCTCACCCTCTGCAGCGCTGACAGTGAGAACCCTGGCTCCCCGGCCGTCCACACATTCCAGTTTGGGCGTTTTGTTTTGCTCACTTTTCGGTCACTTAGCAACAGCTCTGCCCAAACCTCCCCCAGCCTGGATTGCCAGGCCCGGATTGCCAGGCTCCC